CTTGATGAGGAAATTTATACAAATGTTCCTCAAGGATTTGAAATTGGATATGAGGATAATGTATTTTGTAAAATAAAAAAAATCTTACATGGGCTCAAGCTATCTCCAAAAGTTTGGTTTTAAATATTTTTAAAATTGATGTGAAAGATAGGTTATATACATAGTATTATAGACCATCCTCTACATATTAATTTTTCATCATTAGGAGGAACTATGATATCGTTAGTATATGTAGATGATATAATAGTGATATGAAATGATGAGAAAGAAAAAGAATATTTAAGTGTTTACTAAAGAAATTTGATATTAAGATTTTCAAAAAAAATAAAATATTTTCTTGGTGTTTAGATAACTCATTTTAAACAAAAAAAAAATCTTCATAAAATTTTATTATTGATTTTTTAAAAGACATAAAATTTTTGTAAACTCATCAGTACTCCTACATATCCAAATTAGAAACTTAGAAATAGACAAGAAAGTAACTCTATAGATAAGTTGAATTATCATCATCTTGTGGGAAAATTGATTTATCTTTTCTTGCATCATATAGTATGTAAGTGGGAATATTATACTATGTAAATAGACAAGAAAGTAACTCATTTATGTAAGTTCACAATTTAGCTAGAAATAGAGTTCTTCAATATTTGAAGGAAACTCCTATTAGAGGGTTATTTTCTAAGAATAATTATAATATAGATGTAGATATTTACACTTTTTTCTGATTATGTAGGCTCAATTACCAATCGGTGGTCAACTTGAGACTACTATACACTCTTTGAAGACAACCTCATTACATAGAGAAGTAAGAAGAAATGAGTGGTGGTCAAATCTAGCATGGAGTCAAGATTTTGAGTTGTGGTGTTAGGAATTAACAAAATCTTGTGAGTTAAAGGAATTTTAGAAGATGTCATAATCAAATGGAAGGTCCAATCAAGTTGTAATGTGATAAAAAAATTCGTTATAAGTATAATATACAGCCTTGTGCAACATGATTTGACCAAGCATATCAAAATTGATCAGCATTTCATCAGAGAAAAACTCAATAATTGTATCATTTGCAAACCATATATCTCAATTCATAAATAACTAGCATATACTCTCACTAAAAATTTAAGTTATACAGCCTTCTAAAAGGTCAATTCCAAGCTAGGATTAGACCATTTATTCACCAACTTAAGGGAGAATGTTGGAGAATGATTATAGTTATATCTTAATCCTCTTTTATTTATCTCTACGCCCTACTTTTATAATTATGTATCAAGTGAGTTAGATCTACTCTCTATTTCCTAATTTAATTAATTTAAAATTGATTAACCAGATCCGACCCACTAGGTTCAAACTATTATAAAGAACATATCCACTTCCTAAGTTAATTAATTTAAAACTTTTGTCTTTACTTTTCTCTCTCCTCTCTCACAAGACAACGGCTCTCTCACACCCGTCAGCATTTTCTCTAGCGACTAATGACCTCAACGGTGTCAACATGAGCTGTAAGAGGATTATCCCTACAAATGTGGGAAGGGTTACTCATTAAGCACTTGGCGACTCTAGCACATTGAAGCATTCCAAGCATACATCAAAAAAATTGTGTTGATGATTCTTGACATTGAAAGTATTATATATATATAGATATAGATATATTTATATCCGTGTTCATGATATACCGAGAAACTGAGATGAATGATGCGCTTTTGTATCAATTAGAAAACATGCGATGATGGATAAAAAAAAGAAGAAAAAATAGGGTTTAGGACCTGCCCTTTTAAATCTCTCCTCGGAGCGTGCTGTTCTCGCGAGGAAACTATTATAGAGGCTGCCAGCGTGCTTTTGCTGTCACATGGGCCACAAGAGAGAGGCGGGCACGTCAGGGGCCTCTCTCTCTCTCTCTCTCTCCCCCCTGAAATCCATGCACGACAATTCCGGGCGCTGAGAAAACGAGGAGCAAGGCGCGTTGTATGACTTGGCTCACCTCCGTGGGCTTCTTCTGCCCCTAATTCACACTGAAGCCTTTGACTTTTCGATGGTATGATTTTGGTTTGACGATTATTAGGATCCACAGTCTGAGAGAGTGGACCCTTCAAAAATAGGCGTATGCCGCTGTGTGTGGCGAGCACACGGTATTCTTTAGTAAAAGGCGAAAGAATAGTTCGCTCTGTGCTCACCACGCGGCTGCGTAGTGAACCATGTCGTTCCTACAGCATATTAATATGGCGTCTCCTGGTGTTGGCTGTCTAAATAATCGATGTGGGACTAAATAGAAAACCATCTCAATAAACTAATGGATCGGTTTATTGCCACTTAGGGAGAACCGGACCCGACATGACCTGGAGACGACGGTAGGAGGATTTAGACTTGAGATCGTCGTTACACCTCTGATGTCATGGCCTTGGACTTCCCTATGTTCTCCACGCTCACACAATGAGAACATGGCTCTTATTATCTTGGTAATGGTTGTTTTATTGGTCAATCTAGTTCACAATCCATTCGGAGTCCCATCATCTAGTTATTGGACGTTTATTAATCTCCCAAGCAAAGTTGCCTTATGTTAATAATAGATAGGGATATTCATGACCTTCTGAGAAAAGATTGTATACACTTAAAAAATACATTGAAGGTCTATTAATGAAGGAAACCCTCGTGACATTCAATCTATCCAAGAATTATTTGGCACAAACTATGTAATTAAAAACACAATTGATAGAGATTGAGAATGAGTGATAGATTTGTCAACTCATCAAATACACTCACTTATGTCAACCCATGGGTCTACATCTGCAGGTCATGAGTTTATTTTCTTGTCATTTTCATGAAATTTTAGTTCTATCATTTTTAGTAGGAATCCAATTTTATTCTTTTCAATCTCTTCATTGGTTATTTTTTTATTGATTTATGTTTGAAATATAATATAAAAAATATAGTGGATTAGATCTTCACCCAAATATTAGTGTAACAATAATATATTTATGATGAAAATTTATTTTTATCCCTTAATATCATATGTCAAGATCTGAACACTTAAAGTAGCTATTTTTGAAATTTTCAAATTTTATTGTATTAATAAGCTCCAATGTTGGTTAAAGATATTACATTATTCAAAGGTATATGAGCATAAATTTTCATGGAAGTTAAATTAATTATAATATATGCCCATGTTGTTACAATATAATCCCAACAAAAATGATTTTGCGGCTATATTTATCCGACATGTTTGATGTACTATGTTATTAGTACATCACTTCACGACTCAAGCTTTCTATATTAGTTCCATCTATAGATATAAGACATGTTTGATATACTTCTTTTTTAATATAAGTTCCATCTATTCAAATATGCCTCTTTATAACTTATTATATTGCATATTACTGAAATATATGGCTTCATGTATATTACTGCACCCTAAATTTATGCAATAAGATCTAAGCCTAATATATTATATTATCATGGTGTAAAATTTATGTTATGAAATATTTTTTGTACTGAATCTTTATCTCCTAATTTTATATTTATTTTTTTCAGCATAAAATGTCTTTATTAAATATTGTGATATATGTTTATTGTATAATTTTATAATACAATTCTAGTGAATTAAAATATTACTTGAAATGATACATTTTTTACATACTACTATGGAGCTTAATATTTTTATAAATTTTGATTAAAAAATACTATACATGCTATATTGTACTATTGCACAACATAAAATTTATATATTCAAATATAAGGGTAGATATGTTATTGTATTCGTGTAACATTAATGTCATAATTTAAAATATGAGGTTTGATAAACTACGCTATGATGAAATATAGCTTCTCGTATATAAAAATAGAGAGTTTAAATGCTTCATTTTTCTACAATGTAAACTTCATACACTCACATATGTGGCTCTAAATTATGTACTATTGGTATATTACTCATTTTCTTGTTTATCTATCCCTTTGTATCTATAAGTTCTCCTCAATTTCTATTGAGAACTATACCTTGGCAAAAAAAAATTGATTGCTCTCAAATTACATAAACCTTTTATGTAGATTAGCAACAACTTATGTAATTAATAGTATGCTAATCAAAATAGCATCAAATGATCTTTTTTTCATAAATATGTTTGATAACTTCAAAACGTATTTGAGGCTTCAAAATACAACAAAAACCAAGTATAGGTGCCCAGCAAGTGACACATTCCTTGATTAATAACTTGAAAGATTAAAGCCTCACATTGTTAAGGGCATGCTAAGCATGTCAGTCTAAATTGTTTGCATTAGATAGATATATAGCAATGAGATGTCACAAACCAAAAAGTGTAGGTAAACACTCATAAATGATTTACACAAACTCATTTCATACAACAATGCTATCAAATGGACCAAGAGAGTCAATGAATAGATGGATTAGTATGAACTCATAACATTGCATTTGTATAGGTGTGTGGTTCATTGAATCATCAACCTTATTAACCACTGTCTCTATTTGATTATGTACGATTATTTTTAGTGACGTGATTTAGAAAAGTACACTATAAAATGACTTGATTATGTACTATAACATTTTGTCAAATCTACTTTCATCTTACACTCAATTGAAGGGGAGGATGGACCAATTGAATTAGCAAATGATGCATCATATGTAGTTTTCAACTTGTAAAGATGATAGAGTGAACACAACTTGTAAAGAGAAATTGTAAGAACAATTTATCCATATAAATGTAAGAAGGCTAGTCCTAAAGCGCATGGCCACTCTAACACTTTGGAACAGTCTGGGGAAACATCAAAAGATTTGTGTCAATGATGCTTTGACGTGAAAAGTATGTATGATGAGAACGAGTTATTTAATTTTTTATAATTGATATACATATTATGTTTATACAAGCGTGGAGAGTGGGATTTGAGATTAAGAAACTAAGAACGACAATTCGGCCATTACTATGTCAAATGTGTTGGTGGACTCCAAGTTGATTCGAAGTTGAAGATAGGAGTTGTGAACTTCCGGAGAAGAGAGAAGCCATATGTCTGGTGGTGCAAGGAGTTTTAACGGAAAATCCCGTCAATATATATATATATATATCCGTGTTCATGATATATCGAGAAACTGAGTTAAATACTGTGCTTCTGCAGTAGTTAGAAATTTGCGATTGCGACTAAAATAAAGAAAAAAAAATGGTTTTGGGGGCTGCCATTTTAAATCTCTCTCTTCGGAGCGGCTGTTCTCGCCAGTTACAGTGGCTGCCCCGCGTCAGGGGCCATCTAGAGAAGATAGATGGGCACGTCAGGGGCCCTCTCTCTCTACGTCTCTCTCTCTCTCTCCCCCTCTCCCTCTCTACGGTCCTGAAATCCATGCACGGGAATTCCGGGCGCCGAGATAGGGAGGAGCAAGAGCCGCTAAGCACCCCGACCCAAACGCTGCTTCCTATAAAGAATGTCTTAATCTGGCACATTTTACAGGGTAAGCATTCTCCTGGTAATCTATCTCCGGGAAACCTCCCTCTCTTCCCCCATTGGTTTAATATATTTATTGCTCCGGCGCGCAGTCCAAGTTTACGCCAAACAGCCTCACCCGCTTCGCTTTGATCAACGTGGCCGGCGTAGCCTTCGTCGTCTTCCTCGTCATCTCCGCCTCCTCGTCCCCTACTCCTGCTCCGCACCGCACCATTGGTAAGAACACTGACTCTCTCTCTCTCTCCCTCTCACTCACTCGCTCACTAGTCGAGAGATATTTAAGTGTACCTGGAGGGCAAGGGGGTGGCGACGGCGAGGTGACGGCGGCGGCGGGGGTGTTGGGTGCGAGCAACCCGCGGCGGCGCTTCCAGCGGATGTAGAGGCGGTCGGCGGCGCTGCGGCGGCGCTCGAAGAGGACGACGTCGCCAGCATGGAGGCGCTTCTCCTTGACGAAGCGGCTCCAGCCCTTGGTGAGGACGTAGCTGTGGCTGCTGGTCCAGTAGGAATAGCGGAACCGCCAGGCCTTGCCGGCCTCGTCTTCGAAGCTCAGCAGCAGCCCCGAGTCGCTGCCGAGGGGAAGGTGCTTCTCCGCATGCTGCTTCGGGATCACCAGCCTGTTCAACTTCCCCACGTCGCTCGGCGTCAGCGGCTTCTCGAACATCTGCTCCCTCTCCTCCTGCACCATTGGGTCCACTCCACTCCAAGAAGAAGAAGAAGAAGAAGAAGAAGAAGATGAGGCCGGGAGAATAGTTTGGTTTGTGAATTGCTCCTACCCTAAGCTCTGGAGACTAACCTTCTGCTCTCGTGGGGAGTACCAAGAAAGCTGGGGAGAGAGAGAGAGAGAGAGAGAGAGAGAGAGAGAGAGAGAGAGAGAGAGAGAGAGAGAGAGAGAGAGACCAAGATGAGGAGAAGCTTCCAGGAGCTGCTACTAACCTAGCATCTGGTAGGGCGGGCAACCTCTGTTTCCAAGCGCCACATTCGGGAACGCCTAAAGAGAGAGGTAGACAGAGAAAGAGAGAACTAGAGAGGTGTGGAGAAGGGGAAATGGAGGGAGACAATATTAGGGCTTCCGAGGAGGTGAGATAGAGGAGGAGGTCTTTATCCAGAGGGAGACAGAAAGAATCGAGCCTGCAGAGTTCCCCAAGGACCTCGAATATTATATTATGTAGTTGGCGCTTAAACAATTCAAAAGGAAACACGGCGGCGCCGCCCCTGCCATGGGGAGGGCGACCCCTCACGGGTCCCTCCCCTCCTGGCGGCGCCGTCTCCCCCCCAGCGGCGGCTGACAAGCTCAGTCGGGCCCTTTGCCTCGTGCGAGCAGGCCCATCTGTCCCCTCTCTTCTTCGCTGCGCTCCTCCACCGCCGCGAACGAGTCCGCCGAGGCGCCGTCCCTCGACGAGCACGTTGTCTCTCTCTCTCTCTCTCTCTTTCTCGCCGGATCATGAGATAGTAAATCTCTATTCCTCTCTTTCTCTCTTTCGCCGGATCATGAGATAGTCAATCTCTACCCCTCTCTCTATGTCTCTCCGTCTGTCTGTGTCTCTGTCTGGCCCCTGGCCGCCCCATGGATAGATAGACCTCAGAGCCTGCCTGCCTGCTAGAATAGTCCCACCCCAGAAAAAAAAAGGAGCTAATTTCCGCCATTGGACGAAGATAGACTCGCCGTACGCACTGCCAGTCGATATCAGTAGTATTTTACGACCGTCTCACCCTAACCCCACGTCTCAACCTGCCGGGAGAGAGAGAGAGGGAGAGCTGGTGCAGTGGTGCAACGCCTCGAGTGCGATGTTTGGTGGGCAGAGGTGGCCACGCATCTCCAGAGGGAGGAGGCAGGAGAGATGAAAGGCGAGAGACAGAGACAGAGACAGAGAGAGTGCAAAACACAAACGGCAGCAGAAACGGCTGAACAACCCGACGAAGAGATGCAGATTGGGGAGAGGAAACCCGACAAGACCGTGGACACGAGGCGGAATAGCTGATATTCATCCCCCATTGCCCCCAATAGATCCAAGTCAAAGTTGGAACTGAGCTTTGACTCTCTCTCTCTCTCTCTCTCTCTCTCTCTCTATGTTAGGTAGGAGGAGAAACCGCTCATATAATTGGCATCTGATTCCGCTCACCGAAGCTCCCGAGGGGCCTCAACTTCGCCGAGGTTCCCCGAAGCACATGCAGTTATCTTACCCTCTCTGGGCTCTGCAGGCGACTCACTGGCATCGTCCTCTTCGGCGGCTTAATCCCACGGCTCGCGCCCACGTGACAGAAGAAGAGATCCATGGAAAATATAGATACCCAGATCTGTCCATATATATATATATAATTATAGAGATAGAGAAAGAGAGTAACATCCCTTCCTCTCTCTCCGCAGCCTGGAAGAAGAAAAAGAAGAAGCCCAGCCCAGTAGCAGAGCCAACGGTCACCTGTGAGCAAAAATCATTAGACGGACGGGCACTGAAAGAAGGATGGACATACAGAGGATTGATTCATGGAGCCCACCACCTCCCTCACCGACCCATAAATATATATATATAAAATAATTCACGGCGCTGCGGCTACCACTCAGCTCGGGGGGAGCATAGCCTCTGCTGCGTTTTCGTCCGTTGGCGCCTCGGCGGGGCCCATCTCCTTCACCTTCTCCAGCTGCCTCAACAGGTCCAGCCTCTCCGGCCCGTAGGTCGACGGAATCTGCTCACAGCACCGAGAGTTAGAAACCCTACAGGAAGAAGCAAGAAGAAGAAATCCTAGAGGGGAGGAGGAGGAGAAGAAGAGGCGTACCAGGGCGGGCACGTATCTCTGGATGGCGGCGAGCATGGCGGCGTGGCCGACAGCGGTGACCTGCAGGGTGGAGGCGAGTTACAGGGTTAGGGTTAGGGTTGTGGGGGGATGGGGCTGAGGAAGAAGCCCTAACCGGGAGGAGCATGAGGAAGCCGATGGGGACGACGGAGGCCAGGTCCGTGAAGGTCCTCTGGATGGCCTTCTTCTCCTTGGTCGTGAGCTCGTCTCCCGACATGCCCCGCTTCAGCAGCTCCGTCGCCGCCGCCACGTCGATGGCCAGCAGCTGCGTCCCCTGCCAGACGTCCTGCGACCAGAGAGAGAGAGAGAGAGAGAGAGAGAGAGAGAGAGAGAGCAGATTCTGATTCAAATTCTGGCGACCAATTTTTGTTTGGCTCTTCTCGAGGAAGAAAGGGGAGGAGGAGGAGGAGGCGGCACCGTGCTGGCTCTCTTGAACTTGTCGATCGATTTCGCGAGGATGTTCTCCTCCTTCCTCTTCTCCACCGCCGCTCCCTTCTGCACCGCCACTCCCTCCCTCCCGTCCACAGAGATCTCCTGGTCCTGATACAGAAGACACGCCGCGAAGAAGAAGAAGAAGGGATCATCAGTTAGCTAGCATGAAGAACACAGCATGACCGAATTATGAATTGGAGATCGAAATTGTCGATCGAGGGCTCCTCCTCCTTCGTCGATTTCTCTCCGGCGGATGAAACCAAGCGAGCTCCTCACTCACCTCGTCGGTATGTGATCCGTCGGTGCTCCTCTGGACCCGCCTCTCGAGCTCGAACAGCTCGTGTCTCAGAAGCTCGAAGCGGTGGATCTCGTTCAGGTCGGCGTCTGGTTTGGCCGCGCCGGAATCAGCGGTCTCTCCGGCGCGATTGCCGCCCTGAACGTGGCACAAACCACAACCCAGTGCTTAACGAACAATCCACAGGATCTAAATCAAAAAATTAAAAGAAAAAATAAATTCTAAGGTGGTACCATACGTCGGCATTCGCCGTTCTTGACCCGGGCTCGCTCTTTCTTGTTGAATGGCGTACCAAGAAGCTCCAGAAACCTTGGGGTTTGCCGTCTACCCTGATAAAAAAAAAAGCAATTTCCCATCACATGCATCAATCCCTGCACCTTCTTCTGGTAAACTACTAGATTAATTACCCGACCCTTTAAATCCATCGATTAATTAGAAGAAGAAAAAGAGAAAAGAAAAGAAAAAGATGGAGCTGCTTGAGGAATTTGTGATTAGATTTGATCCAGAAACATTACCCGTCTGAAGGGCTCCCATCGGGCTCGGAGTCGTTATACACCTTTCCGCCCTGTCATATTTTTTTAAAAAAAAAAAAACCATGAGAAAGGAGAAGAGGAACAATTTATATTATACAGTTTTTTTTTTTTTTCTTATGAACCAGACAGAAGCGGAAGGCGTCAGCTGAAGAGATTCACTGGTCGTTTCTAAAAAGAAATGGCAACAGTAAGCTGCAAATATGTACCTCTGGTGAAGCACGGATGAACTGGTGTGCACAGTTTTTTAATGGTTTTTATGAAGATGGCGAAGCAATAAAGTCGCTCGCAATATCAAAATTCAGGAATTCAAACAGGATACCTCCTCCAGTGACGCAGCCTTTGCTCTGAATGATGCCTCCAGAAATTCAGCCTCTTTCTTGAGCTTTCTCAACCTCTCAAGATCGGAGCATGCGGCCTTGAGATGCTCCTTGCCGTGGTTGGAGTTTGAAAGATGCAACTCTTGTAGTAATTCCTCTAATCTGTTTATGGCTTCTTCCACACTCTCCAGTGCCTGTAATCATGTATGTTACCATGACAGAAAGCACCCATGAGAAGCGTGTGTAAAATGTCAAAAACTTTGACTTTTTGCCATCTACACTTTGACTCTTTTTTTTTTTTTGCATATTAAGCTAAAATCAGGAAATTTTGCAACTGCCAAAACTAGCAATCTCACATGATAAACAGATATCTAAAGGAGATTAGACTAGCAAGAGATACTGCTCGGACATGAAACCATTATGATGTGGGCCGCAACAAATTTTCCACACAGGAAGAAACGCTTTAGACAAGAGACAAAACTAGATGCCCCTTGTAGATCATGGTAATATCTTTGCAGTCAGGACGCCAAGATCATAAGTTCATGCAAGAAAGTATGAATCTAAAATATCATGCAAGTCAAATTATTTTGTTCTTCTTTCTCATTTTTCTAAGCCACCAACCAAACAAATATTTCTTGAGATCCTACACACAAAAAAAATCCCCAATCTCAGTTTCTATCGACCTAAAACCCGGACAACGTGTCCTTCTAAGCAAAAATATAGGAGTTAAATTCATATATCATGGTAGTGTATATACCTTATCAAAGGAATCCAGTTCTCTTTCAATCGACGAGGACGTTGCAGGTCTACTATTCTCACTTTCACCTCCCCCATTTTCATTCACTTCAATTCTGTGGGCATAACACTAACGCATCAGGGCACGTGCAAAGACTAAAGGAATTCCAAAACTAAAAACAGAAAAGGGATCACTTATAGCCTAGCAACTTACCTTCTTATCCCTAGTTCTCGCCGACATTCCTCCAGCCTGCTGTGTCTAAATTGTAGGAAAATTAAAAGTAAAATGTATTTCAACATCTAAAAGTGGAGTAGAAGTAAAAATAACAAAACGATGGCAATAACTCCATTTAGCAATTTACCCGTTGGAAAGGAATCTTGCGGCTTTTATGTTTGAAGGGTTCTCCACCCACGTGCTGTACTTAATAAAGCTTTTCATCCAGTGAGAGCATGAATCTAATACTTGAGGAACTACTTCCTGAGCAAGATCTCCCCCTTGACCCTTATTTTCTTGGGTTTGCTTATAGCCAATTAGGTTCGTGTGATAGAAAGGCAACCAGTCGAGTTCTTCACAGACAACCTACAGAGAAAAGTTGAAAAGAAAAAGATGATGCCCATCCAATGAGATGCTCAGAAACTTTGCAGAATATAAATTGCTTACTTGCTGACCTCAACATATAACTGATAAGAGCTTATGGAGGACAACTGTGGATAATACAAGGCACTTCCCCCGATAAGATAACTGAAACGACCAGATGGAAATCAGTTAGGGCAAGGGTAATCGCCCCGATGAAAAGGGGAAGACCCATGAGGATAGAGGGGCTCCCCAGATCTCCATACCCAGCTTTTAGAAATCCTCCAGAACTTAGCATTTTATATTAATAAAACTGCTGTTGGACGAGTGATATCGTCAATCAACACCCCCCTCCCAACAAAAAGTTGCTTCATCTCTTAAGCAGTATTTCTTGGTGCCACTGATTATCAATAAAAGCCACATGATAGTAAACAACGGAACTTGGAATTTCCAATTTCTTCTCATTTTTATGAAATCTCAGGAACCCCCACTTCATCATGATAGGAAACAAGTGTCGTAGTCCATACCTAATGAAGCTTTCAATCTGGTCATCAACGTCGGTAAAGCCATTTTTTGACAAAAATAACTTTGTACTTCTCCCGAGGGCAATAAAAAATCCAAATATTGCCAAGTCCTTTTCCAGAACCTACAGCAGCAAGAATAAATCTATCATATCTATTGAAGAAAACTGTAGTCTTCTTCATATTAAATAATGCTCGAATGAATAATCTAAAAATGCTGTACTCCAGGATTTATTTCCACCTCTGGATTGTTAGATAACAGTTGGAAGTAAGAAATTCTACATAACAAAGATCTCCAGAATTCTTCAGGAAAAATTATTGAAATAAATGGGAAAAGAATGCATCGTGAATAAACAATGAAAACCAATAATCAGTTAAACGTGATGTGGAAGTAAAGAACAATCAATAGAAAAACAGTTCAATGTATCATGAGGACATAATTATGATTAAAAAACAGTTCAATGTGATTTGCAATTAATAACCTGAAAAATACTGACTGCCCAATCTTGACATCGCATCTGACAATAATTGATTGAGCACCTGCTTTTTTCATTTCATGCATGTATCTGATAAAAAGCCATTCATAAATGTTCATACGACGAAATTCATAACATTAAGCAAACCATGTATTGTTCACACAACAGAGAACTTTACAGATAAAACAAGATAACGTGATCAATGCAGATATCAGGTAAAGCAATAAATTCACGATGTAACTGGCTGTCAAATATAGAAACGATATTTGGAAAATATAACTGATGATCTTCAAGAATAAGGAAAACTGGAATCAGCGAATTTCCTTCTACATGTTTCATCTGGACTGCAGCCAGTTTTAAGGTAAATCTGTCAGGTGTGAAGACCACCAACCAGTCCCCCACCTTTTCATTCGAACAAACAAGATGAATAGTTTAATTTTTCAGAAAGCTGGAGAGCATCAAAGAGGTAATGAAGAAAACGAAATGAAAAAGTTGTCATATCTAGAATTCCACAGACAATGAGGCTTAAGCACAAACCTCAATACTTTCACTTGTAGTTAGCCTTGACCATATCTTTTCCCTATCTATGGCTCGCTGCACTTGTTTCTGCACAAGATCAACCCAGAAAGATATCTCTTCAACATCCTGATCATTTTTCACCCTACATAAAGCAGCTCGAGGCCCAAAATGCAGAAGAAACTCTCTGCACAAACCGATATCTCTCATGGAAGAGTAGGTCTTCCATACGGGAACATAATCGACCAGCATATTCATCAATCTACCAGTTACATCTGGGATGCCAGAGAAGAACTGTGTGCAGGAAACTTTTGTTTGACCAAGCTTTGTGACTGCAGCAATACAGCTCAACGAAAGCATAAGCAGAGATGGATCGTGCACTCTGCTTGAACTAGAAGACGGCCCATTCCAGCATCTGTCAGAAATAAATAAAGATTGTGCTGTTTACATCTCCAAAGTATATCACGATATTTGTAACTAATAAAAATCACAAGCAAAGCCATACATTGTTGTAGCAGCCTGAAACTGTGGCTCCCTTTCTAGAAGATGGACAAAAGATGCAACAACCGTTGGATACTGTTGCGTCCAAAACCACTCATAAGCAGAAGCCTGCTTCGCAGATAATTCATCCCTGATCATGGTCTCTAGCGGTACAGATAGTCTCATTAAACTGCATCGAATGAACACAGCCACCATAAGAAGCAAATGAAGTAATGCATAAAAATAGAGAAGATTCCCGCTTTACATTTTGATCTAAGTTAAAAAATAACTTCATCAAGGTTTCACTCATACATAACAGGAATCAACAATCAACGGTAGGGAAAGTTTCCCCTCTAGTTTCTTGTTCGTACAAACAACCAATATTTTCCCACTCTTCTACAGTGAAGTTACTAAAAATCCAAGTTATCCCAATTTTTCTTCCCTACAATTTTTTCTTCTATTTCTTCATCGTTTATTATTGGCAAGCCAATAGCAGGCTTCATTTCCCGAACTAAATTGGAAGTCCTCTCCCCCCTCTTAGAGGTCCTGACTCTCTCTTTCTCTTTCTATTAAAGGAGAGAGCAGGAGAAATAATGGCATTGAGAAAAATAGCGCTGTCAAAATTGCTTCAAACGGTGTGAAAAGGAAGAGCAGCGGGCATCCTCTCCAGGTTAGCCTTCTTAAGGGTGATTTTGGCTGCAACAGAGCTCTTCGACCCAATGATATCACGGTTCAGCCAGAGGCTAGCAGAGAGATAGAAAGCAATTGAAGAAAAAAAAACAAAAACCTGGTAGCGGTAGAGATGCAAACTCCAGTTATTCACAAATGTGTTAAAATACTCCTTTTTGCTTCATCTTTTTTAATAACTGTTAAACATGATCCGGTAATATTTAAAATAGTACAGTTCTAATCTTCCCTCTCTCATGAAAACTTTGGGAATAAAATCAAGGAAAAAAACTCAACAAAAACCAAAGATCATGATGATAATTCATTGGTCAGAGTACCTTCAGATTTCCAGGCATTCTCATTTAATCTGGACAAGGTTAGCAAAGGTTCATTTCCAATAACTCCCCACTTCAATCAACTTAATGCCCACGAAACATCCAGAGCAACTAAGATGAGATGAAGTTACGTTTCATAATTAATCTTATTCCACATAGAAAAGAAATTAATTGATGGAGTCTTCAGCTAACTACCGCCAATCAGGACATAATAACCCACTAACTTTGATTACGTTCACCCTTTTGTTTCAACATCTTGTTCCTGGGTAATAGATATGTTGAGAAAATAGAACCATAAAATCAGAGTATGATAAATGAAAATCTGAATGAATGAGAGATATGACTCAATTAAATATGTTGGTCACTGTAAGTTGACTTCACGTCATTTTAGTTATTATTGAGCCATCAAGTCGATTAATTAGTTCATTTCTTTGCATTTAGATTGACATCATTTTGATAGCCAGACACTTACTGCAGAAATACACGTCATTTAGATTGACGTTAACAGGAATACATGTCACTCACTGTAAATTTCGTTTATCCTTTAAACAGAAATTGATAGAAGTGATGACTAAAATTTCAATTCGATTTCTTAAAGAAATGGAACCTACACACTAATGAAAGAGAAAATAATCCAACATGAGCAAGAAAAAAGGCCCAGCTCTAAAAAACGACAGATAATGACATAATGAAATATTGAAATTATGCCAAGAAAAAAGAAGTCCTGTTTCCAGTGTCTAATTACCTCCTTTGCACGAAAACGTTAGCATCTCTGTCCCTTCCATCCCCACGTGATGAAATTTCCACTGCAGCTTGCAGCAAGCAATATATCGCAGCCTGATACAATCCCAGGAATTTCAGACAACGTGATGGAAATAAACCTACCGATCCAAACTGAATTCGACTTGCATGAAAAAATAAATGCTTCAAGGCATGCCATGTAAACCATGCCCTCCAACAAAACAAGCATCTCATGACTTCGTTTTGAGTATTACACTGCGTTCATGGCATTTAATGAGATGAGAAATAGTTTTTGAGGTGAAATCACAAAAAAAAAATCTAAATACCGAAAAAGTTACTAAAATATATTTATAATTGTCATAATTAGAAAAGATCTACCCCCTTGTAGATAAAATATCCTGAAGGTGGTATGTGAGGTTCGAGCAATTTCAACCAGCCAACCTTAGGGCTATCCAAATTTTATATCCAAAAAATCAATAAAGTCGAAAGCCAGTAAGAATACAGAAATCATTGTTCAATTGCGACGCAAAACTGGCATCCATTAAAGGTTCAACTCTTTAAAAATATCAATATTGTGGAAAAGATAAAAATGTAAGTAATTTTGATTATAATACATCGTGGATGCTATGTGCAACTCTGTCAAGGTTGTGTAGATGGTGCTTCTGATACTCAGAGAACAGCAACATGTCATGTTATTGCACAATATCACTTCATACAAATTATTTGCATGCCAAGATTATATATTCTGCTACACTTGACACTATCATAACCATATAGATTACCTGAAACAAGCCATCTATATACCTTGCTAATATAAGGTGTGTAATTTTTTTAGGCAAAAGGTGGTGCGCTTAACTTTATCAGAAAAATTGTCTTGATAAAAATGTCAAGCTATAAGGTAGAAAAAAAAAACATCTGGAGACTGTGGCAATTGTCATAAAAAATCCCATGTAGACCCACATTTGTATGTCAACTTTATAAATTAAGCTTACGTCCTGGGTCGTTTAACTAAAGCAGAAGTTCTCCAAGTCATGTCTACTAAGCCAGGTTTGCAAATGAAGGCACGTAATTAACCTGGTAGGAGATTGTCCTTGTCCACGCATTCTTGTCCACACCAATCCATGCCTTTGAGAACCAAGATGACTTAACTGATGAGCTGTACTCTGTGAGAGCCAATTCAATTGATCTGGCTGCATCATGCAGAGACTGTACAAGTCTACTGCTGATGTCCTCACCTTCCAAAGGCTGTTCGACTGGTACCACTATTTTTTCCACCTCACTCCTTGAAGTTGCTCGTGGAGTTCCATTAGCAGTTACACTTTCATTCGCAGAGGATAGTAGATTGGAATGTGGTGTCCTTTTTTTTTGTGAATTGCGAGAACGGTGCTTTGCAGACACTAGCCACCTGGAACTAACGATGCACTTATCGTATTCTGGAAATCTATTCTTCAACCGAAACCTCTGTCTGTGAATATTCCGATACTGAACGAGCCGGTTTAGAAAAATTGATTGCTGATATGGACGGTGGATGCACGGCAGTTTGCTTGGTAGACGTACGTTCTCTCCGCTGAAACACAAAACACAGGTAAAAGCCTCGTAAAAAAAGTGTTAATCTCAAATGATTTCTGAAGATTCATTCCATAATATATCCATTTTTTTAACACCGGGTGGGTGCCCCGACCATTGAACTCGGATTATAATGGCCTTAAAATACAAACCAATGGGATAGGCCATCAGTATCGGCTTATATTGAATTGAAAGCAAGCGAATATACAATATCAGTAGAGAAGAAAACAACGGAGCGGCTCCGCGCAAAAACCCTGGAATCATCAGAATTCCAACATCGCCACCGATTCCAAATAATAAACCGTATAGCGAAACCAGAAATAAGAGGACGGATTTCAGATTTGAAGATAAAAATAACTCGAACCTTGAAGGTAAGAGGCTCTGATGCTGCAGCTTCAGAGCCATCGATTTGGACCGAGGAGGAACGGAAGAAGACACCGAGCACAATCAAGGTCCGGTCAATTCCAACCAGTCCGAGGATTCGAGTAGAATCAGACGAGAATGTCCCACTGACCAATCCGCAGGGAGGGATGGAGGCGCCGGCGAGAGGGGGAACGTCGCGTGGACGGCGGACGGTGGCGGGGAAGAGGAGCAGGTGGTGGTGGTTCGTGTTATCCAAGGACGTGGTGAGGCAGGCGATCACGAAATTAGCCGCCGTCGGAATCGCCCTTAACTTCTCTGGAGACTCGGACGAGTTGAGGACGATCCGCGGAGCTCAGGATGCCTCTCCTCCTAATCTCCCGGCCCAAAATAACTATCAGACAAGTCCATTAGTAGGACGATCTCGAAGTTTCTAGAATCCACTCCGGAAAATGATATATGGGCTAAGATCCTCGGCCGTCTTTTTTCCTAATTGGACCGACTCTAGCCACTGGGCTTCTTCAGCCTATTAACGCTGGACATCGACGCTTGAGCGGCCCATTAGCAAAAGTACTGTTGATTTTAACCAAAAGTCAACGCTTACTCAGGTGACAGGCGCGGTACGTACGACCGCCGGTTCTTTGGGTGGCCGGCTAGGGGGGTAGGCCCACGCACTACTGGCACGTGCCGGTGCAGCCCGTCCTTGACTATTCAGCCCCCGTTTTCTCCGATTAATTAATAAAAATATTTCCTTAAAATCCTTAATTATCGTGCGGAAGGTTCGGATATTCCCCGAGCCAGATCAGATCATTAAGAAAGTGGGCCCGCGTACGCTGACGCCACTCATCGCTACGTCATTCACCCAGCCCGTGAAAAAGTAGGTCAACGCACTCTCCAAAGCGCGCGAGACAGGAGCACGGTGGTCTACTCTATAGAGCGAGAGAGCAGCAGCAGCAGCTCACATTATGCACGTGCGGTGAGAGAGAGAGAGAGAGAGGCGTCAACGGGATGATGATATAAATGGGAAATTTTTAATAGTTCGATCGCAGTCACATTTAATTGGGAAGACCAGTCTCTCACCTAAAATTAGGAGCGTTCCAAAGGTCAAAAAAATAATCATAATAACTCCCCAACGGTTAAACCCGAATTCCATAAAAGTAAATATGTGACCCAGTTTCTTTTTTAAAAAATAGAAAAAATAGAGAGGAAAATTTTGGTTTGGTGCGGGTGGCTCGGGCTGGGCCAGCCCACCGGGCCGGATGGCGCGGGGCTGGTCGGACCCGGTCCATTAAATCGGAGCCACACGGACGACGTGGGCGGGGTTAGGTGGTCGCTGTCTTGGCCCGCACTAATGGACCGCATTACCGTAATACCGTAAGGTAGAGGTTGCCCCCCCCGCCCCCCCCCCCCTCAATTCAAAGCGCCACGTTCTTTGGGAGAGAGATAAGGGGGGCCTTATGGTAAATAAAGCGATATTGGGGATAAATTTCCTCTTTTACCCCTGGGTATGTGATCGGGTTTTTCGTTTTTTTACTAGGGGGTGTAGTTTACTATCATTGATGTGGGTCCGATGACGTGACGTGCCAGAATGTACCTCAATGACGTGTCACGATTTCCTTTTTTTGCTAATTAAGGATATTCTAATAGACCGGTCAAATAGTTATCTTTTAAGCATGGAAATTATCGTCGACAGAAGCCGTCGGAGGGTGTCGTTGTTTATACGCATAAAAGGCGTCTCTATATTTCCAATTTCGGGAGTTCCAGCAAACTTCCATGGCCGCGGCCGCAGACGTCGGCGCCGGCGGGACGACCGTCGAGGACCTCCACGGCGACGTGCTCACGCGGATCCTCCGGCGGCTGGACGGGCCGTCCCTCGCCGCCGCCGGCTGCGCCACTGCCCGCCTCCGGGAGCTCGCCGACCAGCCCGACCTGTGGGAGGAGCTCTGCAAATCAACCTGGCCGTCGCTCCGCCACCGCCGCCTCCGGCCGATGCTCGCCGTCGCCCCGCGGACCTTCTTCTCCGACGCATACACCTTCCCAGGAGGCCGTGGCGACGCCGGGGAAGGCCCGGCGGTGGGGGAGCCGCCGCCTCCCAGGCTGCTCTCCGCGGTAGACCTGTTCCACAGAGGGAAGCTCGTCTTCTCCACGTTGGTGGAGACGGACACTAGGAGCTCCTGGTTCCTCGGCTCGCCCTTCCGGGTCGAGGCCCTCGCCGGCGGCGGCGCCGGGCCGGTGTCGGTGGGGGATCTGAGACTGAGCTGGATAATTATCGACGACATTCGCAGGCGGGCGGTGAACCTGTCCAGCCGGCGGCCGGTGGCGGTGCAGCGGCGGTGGTACGCGGGGACGACGCACGTCCGGTTCGCCACCGTGCTGGGCCGAGGAAACGCCGCCGCCGCCGCCGTGGTGGCCTGCGAGCAGGCGGCGATGGCACCGCTGGAGGTCAGCCTGTGCGTGGAGGACGCTGACGGAGTCTGCCTCAGCGGAAAGGAGAGCCTGACGATGCTACGGGGGGTGCTCGCCGGAGAGAGAAAGCACGGCGGCGGAGCGGCGGAGGAGGAGGCCCGCGCCGCCTACGCCGGCTTCGTCGCGCGGCGGCGGGCGGGGAAGGAGCAGACGGCCACGAGGGAGCGCCGCCGCGACCTGTGCTGCGTCGTCTTCGGGTTCTTCCTCCTCGTCTTCCTCGCCGCCCTCGTTCTCCGGTAAAGGGAAGGAATAGTCCGACGACACGCCGGAGGGGCCTCTCGACGACTCGGAAGTTAGGAAGGTCATCTCTCCGGCAATCCTCCTTCTCCTCCTCCTCCGCCGCCGCCGCCTCCGGCGAGAAGATCGTCGTTAGGCTGAGCTTCTTCTTCTTCCTCCCTCCTCACCTTCAGGGGAAGACCACCCCCTTAAAGACGGCGCCGCCGAACATCTCCTGTTGTCTCGGGTAATGTGGAATCATACAACCCATTTCTTCCATTCTTGCACAAATTTAGCATTACTTTATATGCTTCGCTGGTATAATTTTTCTAACCAAGAAGATCAATGGAGACGTGGTCGGTTCCTCCCCCCTTCAATTGGCTCCCAGGATGCTCGGACCGATTCGGCCTTATAAATTATTTGCTAAAATAATCCCAAGCTGATGAATGTATAAAGTTTATATCCCTCGGGGAATCAAATAAGCGGACGTAAGGTGACATTTAAATAATATATCATTTCATCAGTGACGCGGAATAAAAGTTGGGTTTTGTAAGTATTTCATCAAAAAATACGGTGAAGTGGAGCTGGTTGAAGCTAGCTCGAGACTAGGGAGGGTGACCACGTGGAGGTTAGAAATAGTGCCACGTAGACGCCGAAGAGTTTCTGGGCCATGCCAAAATGGGCCCATAAGGTACCGGCCCAACTTCTCCGTTTTTTTATATTTTTTTCTGAGGGTCAAACCCAAGAACAGTAATGTTCCCGGACTTGGAGAAACAGGTAAATTATTATTATTTAAATAAAGTCAACAATTTTATGAAATTATTATTCATTTATTTAACCTATAAAAAATATAGAGAATTGCATGTTGTAGTCATAAATGGAATAGTTGTAAAGAAGATCCACTTGCTCCCGTAGAGTGAGATTAGTCGTCCCCATGGAGGACAGCTAGTAGGAGTTGTATTGCTTAAAATGCTCTGTCGGGGTAGCGTCACGTGCTCGACTCCTTCCTGCGGAGCGAAGAGAGAAGAAACCAGAGTGCACACAGACGAGCGATCAGAACTCCTAGCTTTCCCTGAGACTCCGCCTTAGGAGGGCCAGTCGTCTCTGCCGCACCGGCTGAGAGAAAACCCTAGCGAGGCTTCCTCTTACTCTACCTCTTCCTCCTGCTTTCTTGGTTCTAGCGCTTGATCTCTCTCCTTGATGGGTCAATGGCGGGGAGGCGAAGAGGCCGCGGGTGGCGGCGAAGTAATGGAGTCGATCTACTCGGTTCTACCGCTGGTTCTCTGCGATGCAGCCACCGCGGTCGACGTGTACCGCCTGACCCAGTACGACCTGGCCGGCATCCCGCTCGGATCTCGTGCCGCCGGGCTCAATCACCACGCCGGAGCTCCTCCTTTTTCTCCAGGAGCCGACCTGATGCCACTCCGGGAGCTCAGTTTGACCTTCCTCCAAGTTATGGTGTACGTCTGGTGGGCCGTACAACTACAATGGAGCTCTCAATGTCAGCTTGAGTAAAACAGCTTTCACCCCAAATCTACAGTGTTCTTCTGATCTCGTTATGCATGATGATATCTTTTTTTTTTTCCTTAAACCCTGGCCTTTAGATTTCCAAATTCTCATATCAAAAAGTTTGGTTTCTCAAGCTTAGACGCCTTTTGATCTTGTCTCGTCATTCCTTCAACGAGTTAACATGTTTCTGCAGCTTCTCCTTTTCAGTGGTTGAGGAGTTTAGATCAGTTTTTTCTCCTATTTCTTCATCATCTACTATTGACAAGCCAATAGCAGGCTTCGTTTCCCCAACTAAATGGGAGATCATCTCCCTCCTCCTGCAGGTCCTGAACTCTCACTTTCTTTCCCATCTCATGCTCAAACTGGTCATAATAAAAAAACAAAGGAGAACAGAAGCCAATAGCAACAATAATATGCAGAAGGGATGAAAAATGGACCCCCACATTGAGGTGGATGGTGGCCAGCCAGTTCAGGAGCACCACCACCACCATTGGCATCAATCCATGGTCAACCATTGAAGAGGTTGCTCACATTCCGACATCTCTGCTCTACCTCCCTACTTCCTTCCTCCGATGTTACATAGCTTGAGCTCCTCTGGCTGTTCATGGAGAGAGAAGAGCAGGAAGACATTGTGCCTCAACTCTGCTGGTTCTGCATCTGTTGGGTGTTCTTCAGCAACTTCTCGATGAGTAGACAGCACTGTGAAGATTGCTTCAGATTGTGTGAAAAAAGGGAGAGCAGCGGGCATCCGACAGGTTCTCCAAGTTTTTCACTTGATCAATCCCAAACCCATGAAGGGTGTTGACATTTTCTGGGCCGGGCATGGAAGGGCCCCCCCCATCTGTGTGTGGGTCAACTCTTTCTTTTTTTCCTGTCCTTACAGATCCGCGTCTCCTCTGTTACCATTGATCTTGAGTCCACTGGAAGCAAGAAAAATGGGACCCGACCCTAGAGAGAGAAAGACGAGACTCGTGAAAGCTAAGCTGAATAGATGACGGTCCACTAAAGTCCACTTGTCAGACGCCATGTTAAGTCAACCCCTCAGGAATGGAGTCTGATCATACCTACAGAGCCCAATGAGCGGCCATCGGTTGACTTCCAGGCATCTTTACAGAGCATAAAGAACAGAGTACAAAAAAACCCAATCAAGAGAGAGAGAGAGAGAGAGAGAGAGAATAAGGTGGCCTGGTAAAATTTTAACGGAAGTCTCCTAGAACACAGGTGACTGAAATGATAAAAAGATAAAGCCGTGACTTCTTCACAGAGGGGGAAACCTAAGGAGGGAAATTTAGAGGGCAAAGCATCAAAAGCCCAAGTTCATAACTCCAATCTAGAGAGAGAAAAGAAGGGGGGGTATCAATCAAGATCAGGCCTCGGTGATGGGGTACTCGAACACGACATCCTTGCCGGAGAGCTTGCGGTAGACGGCGCCGAATGTGTCGACCTTGTACTCGGTGTTGTTCTTCTCCTTTGGATCGAGCAGGATCTGGCAAAAAAAAAGAAAAAAAAAAGATGAACGAGGGTTGGAAATTGTTAGAGAGAGAAAGGGCATTCGCCATTAACACAACCGATCATTCTGTCATAAATCATCTACTCTGGCAATATCATAAGAACAAAGACATTGTCGATGACAGGATTATGGACTTGAATCGAAATACGGAGAGAAAAAATGAAGTCAACTCCCAGCTCGTCCTACCCTCCTCAAGCGCAATTCTCATACTGAAGGAAGCCATCTCAAGTTAATTTGATGGGTCGTGATGGAAATCGATGCCTTCACCTAACAATTCTAATGCGCACTACATTGAGGATCTAAAGGTTCTCATTGACGGCGGGCATGAAGAAAATCAAGAACTAATAGCCGATAATGCTTCTCACCTTGATAATCTTCGAGCCATCAAGGCGGTATCTCTCACGCTTGCCCACGATCTCCGCAGGGTACACAACATCCTCCAACACGGCGTCATGGACTGCAGTCAGCGTGCGGTTGCGGGGACGTGTGACTGCTGACCCTTTCTTTGGCGGCCTCAAAATCCTCCGCGAGGCGATGAAGATGACATCCTGCAGGGGAGGGAGGGAGGGAGAGAGAGAGAGAGAGAGAGAGAGAGAGAGAGAGAGAGAGAGAGAGAGCAATCGTTCAATGAAAGCACCACTCACAATCAGATTATTATGATCATTTCTAGTCTACTGGATCAACTGAGAAGCTGGAACCAGGTTCCCGTACCTTGCCACTGAACTTCTTCTCAAGCTCTCTCACAAGGCGCACATGAATCTTGCGGAAAGCTTTCCTCAATCTGAAAGGAACATGAATAACAACGGCTTTCTTGCTCCCAGCAACATCAACCTGACTGCGATAAATATAAATGATAACCATTAACAATTAATTAAAAAAAGCATAGGAAATCATGAACGTGATGAATACAGAATTGCACGTACAGTGCGGAATTGATGAAGAGATCTTTCAATTCGCTCTTCAGCTCGTTGTTAGTGTTCTCGAGATCAAACAGTGCCTGGTGCAACAGACAGAAAAAATCAGAATCTTCGTCGGTTTGGCCATGAGAAGTTACAGATAACGAACGAAGAACACCCAGATTAAAGAGAGTTATTCTAAACTGAACAATAACCTGAGCAACAACATCTTCGAACTCGGTTGGCTCCAACCCCTTATCCTTCTGGATTTTCTTCCTTGCGGTGAACATGTTGATCACCAGATGCTTGTATCACCCTGGACAGAGAGCATGGGAGTTAGGACCCTTTAAGATGGCTGGGCATCTGCGGTTTGGCAAGAGGTCTTCAGCTGAGGTCCGACATTCGGCTGAAATCTTCATTCGAGAGCCCCGCTGAATGGACGCCGCGAGGAAGAGGCCACGCGAGAACAGGAAACAGCACAAACCCAGAAGGGAAGGAGAGTACCTTCAGGCGGCGGATGCCCACAGAGGACGGCGGCGGCTGGGTGGAAGAGCAACCCTGCTGCTGTTCCGCACCCCGTCGTTTGAGGACGGCGGCCAGGGCATCCCGGGGGGGCTAATAGAGGGGGAGAGGAAAAGCCCTAGGACAAATAAGAAATGACTAAAATATCCTCATCCGATTGGGGGCCCGTTAATGCTTTATTGGGCCTCATCGGGCCAACCCACGAAATTAGCCCATATATTGAGCATCATGGACTCGACGAAGATCACCGCGATCCGGCGGCAAGTGGCGGTGTAGCGGCAGTGGCATCCGGGGAGGACGACGGAGATCCGGTTCGTCGCCATGATGGGCGGAGGAAGCGCCCGGAGGTGAGTCTGTGGGTGGAGGACGAGGCCGGAGTTTTCCTGAGCGGGGAGGGCGATAGCCGGAGAGAGGAAGGGCGGCGGCGGAGCGGCTGAGGAGGAGGCCAGCGCCGCCTACAGAGGCCGCCTACCCCGGCTTCGTCGCGTGGCGGCGGCGGCTTCGTCGCGTGGCGGCGGCGGCGTCGTCGTGTTCGGGGTCTCCCTCCTCGTCTTCCTCGGCTCTCCGGCGACACGCCGGAGTAGCCTCAAGACGGCCCGGAAGCTAGGAAGGTCATCTCCCCGTCAATCCTCCGCAATCGCTGAGAAATAGCTAAATTATTTTGATTAATTTAAATTATAAAAATATAGATATTTGTCGTCGTTTAAAAAGAAGATCCACTTGGTCCTGTAGGGTGAGATTGGTCGTCCCCATGGAGGACAGGTAGTAGGATTTGGATTGTTTAAAATAATCTGCCGGAGTACCGTAACGGACTCGATTCCTTCGTGGGGAGCGAAGAGAGAAACCAGAGGAGGGCACAGAAACGAGTGATCAAAGATCCTAGCTTTCCCTGTGGGTCGGCCTCAGGAGGGCCGGTCGTCTCTGCAACACCGGCGGAGAGAAAACCCTAGGGAGGCTTCCTCTTCCCCCTGTTTTCTGCCAACAAGTGCTTCTTGGTTGCTGGATCTCTCTCATTGGTGGGTCAATGTCGGGGAGGCGAAGAGGCCGCGGGGGCGGCGAAGTGATGGAGTCGATCTACTCGGTTCTAGCTCTGGTTCTCGTGCTAGTTGCCTGCGTTGAGCTCTGCGATGCAGCCACCGTGGTCGACGTGTACCGCCTGATCCAGTACGATCTAGCCGGTATCCCGTTCGGATCTCGCGCGGCCGGGCTCAATCACCACGCCGGCGCTCCTCCTTTTTCTCCGGGAACCGACCTCTCGCGTACCGTGGCATTGATGCCACTCCGGGAGCTCAATTTGACCTTCCTCCAAGGTATGGTGAATCGATTGGCTTTCATCTTATCTTCTTTTGTTGAATTTCGTGGTCATGGATGGCAAAGTTCTGGCGTTGACGTAAAATGAATTATCATTGACATTTTCTCTTCCTTTTGACTTCAAAGTTCACATTTTTATCATAGTTATGACTTTTTTCCGACTGATATAAGCCTGAAATATTTCAGATTATATCACAAGTAAGAATCCGCTTGGGGGGCTATTGCTTTTGCTTCCCCAAAAGCTCAGTGAGAAGGTTGGCGATGATCGGGTTGGAAAGGTGGACCAGGTGACGAGAAGCGCATTGGCCGACCTGGAACGTTTGCTCATACATGCCAATCTTCCGGTGAGTGCCCAGGAAGTTCTTCTTTAGCATACTGGAGGTCTCTCTATGTGCGTACATTTTCGTTTCCAGGGCAGTGCTGGTTAAATCAATTGTCATTATTCAAATAAAAGGATATTACATTTGGATGTGTTCGTATTTCAAACCTCGGTTACTGCTCGGAAATAAATATATATATATAAAGTGAAAAAAACTGCGTTGCCCTTGTAAGGGTGGGAATTGATTGATTTATTTTCTTCTACTGACACTGCATTTTTGATTTGATCATTAGTGAAAAGTGAGGAAAGTGGAACACGTGTGTCACTTATTAGGAGCCTCTTTAATTCTCAAGATTCACTTAGTAGAACTTTAGAGCATTAAGATAGCTTAATATTTTGCATTAAATTTGAGTGATTAAAATTTGGTCCTTTCTTTCTGATTTCAATATTTCTCTATTTTCTCCTCTGCTTCCTCGAGTTGTGTAAGAAAAGTAAAAGGTTTCCCTGCCTGAGAGTCAACGACCCATTGATTAAAAGTTGATTTTCTTTCTTTTAACAGTTTATTGTGCACGGTCTTGTAAGACCAACATACCAGATTGCGCAGGCCAAACTGTAGAACCTGGTTTTGATGCATCAGGAAGGAGAAAAGGATGATTTAACTCATATTGTCAGAATTTATGTTTACTTATAGGCCTCTGGCTCCTTTTTCTCCTCATATACAGAACGAGAATGGGGGGATGGCATGTACAATAAGCAGGATAATGGCAAGACTAATGGTGTTTCTTACTGCTGTGATTGTTGCAGTACGCTGTGTATTTTGCTTTCGAGGATGAGAAAATCGACGCTATACTGGCTGATGTTCGGCGGAGTGACAATGTGGGTCAGCCTGCATCAGCAACCACTGGCGGGTTTGTTGCTAGTCACAATCTTTTCCTTTCTCATTTAGCTTCACATCCTCTGACAAGTTTCTTTGCTATTTAACATAACTTCCCTTTCTGTGGGTTATATAATTTAAAATTAATAGTCCTTTTTTTTATCTGCTCGGATACTCATACTTCTTTGTTTACCTTCGCAATTAAGATATTGTTTTCCAAAGGTGGTTCATCTATTTCCTCTTTTGTCATTTTGTCAACGAATATGCCTACATTTGAACATTTACACTCAGGGTGGCTATACCCCACGCCAACTTCCAGCCTGACATGAACTTGACCCACACAAAACTAGATTTAAGGTTAGCACCATTCCGCAAATGAGAAAAAGACAAAAACTATGGTTTTGACATAAATAGATAACTTAAATCATACTATGTTATGCCACTCAAACTCTACTAGCTGCATTATGCTAGATCGAATGCGTCAAGTTAGGTCTATTCACATCTCAAAGGTTTGGATAAGGTTGGAAGGAATTGGTAGAATTTGTAGGGGGGCCATAATTTAGTTTTTCGAAAGACAGGTCCCAGCTAATCATGAGACTATGCTATAAATGTCAACTCTACTGCTGGGATATTTTGCAACTGGATTTCTTCACAGAAATTGCTCACAATCACTGCAAGAGGAAGAAATCATAAGACATGAATGGTCATGAGTTTGAGTGAAAAATTGGGAAATATATTTAGGCATACGACCCAATATGAGGACAGATTCTCTTTAAAAAGAGGATGAGAGTGAAAGGCCTTGTGCAAGATAAGCATGTAGGTTTGGTGGCGGTTGGAGGAAATGATGCTGTGGTAGTCAAGAGAAATTCCCAATAACAAATACCTCTCTGGACAAGAAGCTGATGGGGGTTGGGGGGGCGGCGAGGATGGGTGAACAAAATTAGAGGATAAAAAATGAGGGTTGACAAATGTAGTAAGAGGAAGAGAGAGGGGACGGAAGAGATGAAAAATGTCCCATATCTATGGAGCCTTGACAAAAGTGGATGATTCACACACATATTAGTGTTTCTCGAAGTCCAAGGAAACTGAGTGTATGCTTATGTGTCCTTTGGTGGCTGTAGACGAAAATGTGTATGGGTAGATTTGAATCATCTGGGATATTTATATCAGGTAATTTCTCGCTTTGTACGGTGGTTATAATAACATGCTAATTTTTTTATAATTTTTTGGTAAATTGACTGTGTTTTCTGGTTGCTTAATTGACATCTTTCTAATGGTGGCTAAGAATGCGTACAGACACACAAAGGGCTGGGATAATCCTGTTCTAAAGTGGGCAGAGAATGTAGTATGATACAAAAATGCCTAATATCAATTCTCCATGTTTATTTTAGGCAATGTCCATATGTTTCCTCACAAGAAACGATTTTCATTCAACTGTTTTGCTTTGCAATATCTGTGTAATTACTAGGCTTGTGAGTGCAATGCCTTCTTTGTCGATTTACTGTAAGCCTGGTTTCAAATCCTGGAAACACCATGTTAACAGCGAATGAAACCTTGATTTAGTAATATACCTATAATTCTGAGAGCTATTGTTAATTTTAGTGCAAGGCAAGTTATTTAAATACTTTCACTGAAAGCCTAATCCAATACTTGTATGGGGAAATTTTCAGGTACAAGCTTGTTGTCTCTTCACCAGAACCCAAGAAAATTCAATCTCCCACCATCACAAATATTCAGGTCCATTTTCTTTTCTCACACGTAGTGTTGAAATATTGCAAGGAGAATCTCCATAGTCTCTGAAACCGAAACGTTGTTTTTCATGACTTTGAAAAAGAACTGTTGTTCTCATGTATCGAAATATTGAGAAGACTAGTTGTTTGGTGCAGTCTAATCTTATTCTGTTGATGAAGGTTCTTGGTTTTTCTGGTTTTGATGACTTCATTTGATCTGTACAAGTTTTAGTGAACAATCAAGTGCCATGTTGTTGTTAGGCATTATGATCAGCCTTATGGTTTGCATCCCTTTTCGGGCAGTTACTTGGGCATGGGTGGTTGGTAGCCAGTTAAATTTAAAAAGAAGATTTCAAATTTGCTTATACTATCTTTGTTTTTTTTTTTCAACTTTTTGGTAGCGTGGGCTTCATCTTTTTCATAATATTAGTCGAAGAGTAAGGCAAGTCTGCAAAGAGGCTAGTGCCATATTCTTGGACCAGCCTTGCGTGGTTGACTTTGCAGAAGTAACAGGAGATTCGGGGAGTCTTCGATAAGTATTGCAAGGACTCTGACAGAGTTAGCTGGTCAATAAAGAGTGGTCTTTCAAGGTGCCAAAGACTCTCATTGGTGTTATGTTGCAGAGGATTAAAGGGGATTTTTTTTCAAGGGAATGTAGTTTCCATTATGAGTGTTTGGGTTTTTGGATTCTTCTGTTCCATCAGATTGATCGAAAATAAGCTGTGCTTGAGTTTATTCAGCTTTATTGTTTCTTTATGAATTTTCATGAGCCCCAGACCTGTCTGTTCTTTTTGTACGTTTCGGGAGATTGACTGGAATAACTGATTTGTAATGTGTGTCCTTAACTGATTTATACACCACATTCTGAAGAAGGCAGTTCTCTTCATAAAAATAAAAGTAATTTTCAAAATATATCGAGCCTGGAAATAGGAGACTCAATCCTTTTCATTTTAGTGATTGTATCTATGAAATAGCGAAGAGCTGTGATGACCAGGATGTTTGAATTTCGGGCATTGGGTAAACCTATATTAGTACTGGTTCCGTGTTTTACTTGATGACTGATCATACTTTTCTATTCAAGGACTTACTATATTTGCAAGGTGCAAACCGTGGATTTGACCACTTCGCTCAGTAAACCTAAAATGTTGCTTAAAAATGTTTTGCAATAAACCTGCAGTACTAATGGCTTTTCAGTGTTTTGTCTAGCAATTACTTATGATATGGCATTAACGAATCCATGTTTTAGTTTACTGCTTTGTGGATATATTGTCTAGACAAACACACACACCTGCAAAGTTACTTTTATCAACCCATCTCGATCTCACTTGATTGATCTATTTCTCTAGTTGTGATGATACTCATTGTTTAAGTTTAATCTTTTTTTTTTTGTTTCCCTTGCTCTTCAATTGTATGCGAAAATGTTAAAATTTTCCTCTACGGTGGCCATTCCCAAGTCAGATAGAAAGAAGGCTATTAAGAAGAGGCATATTTTACTTCACTGGAGATTGAGATTTTTCTGAAAACTGCTCGATATATTGCTTATATTTTCTGGGTTTCTCTTAGTCTGTTATGGAAGCTCGTGTTATTTGGACAGGGATGGCTGTCAGGTCTGAAAGGCGATGGAGATGTTAATCAGCTGCCTACAATAGCCATTGTTGCTTCATACGACACCTTCGGCGCTGCACCAGTAAGACATACCTTATTGGCACCCGGAATTTACTACTGTTATTATTATCCTTATGTATATATGTATATTGATGTGCATAGTTCACAGGCATTGTCTGTGGGGGGTGACAGCAATGGAAGTGGAGCTGTGGTTCTCTTAGAGATTGCTAGGCTTTTCTCTGGTCTTTATTCGAGTCCTAAAACGCGAGGAAGATATAATATACTATTCGGGCTGACATCTGGTGGCCCGTACAACTACAATGGAACTCTCAAGGTCAGCTCAAGTCAAACAGCTCACCCAAATCCACAGTTTTCTTCTGATCTTGTTATGCATGATAATATCTTTTTTTTTTTTAATCCTTAAACATCGCCTTTTATCTTATTTCCAATAACATCTCACTTTTTTCACTTCAAAAAGTTAAATATTTCACGATTAGATTGCCTTTTGATCTTATATCATCATTTCTTCAATGAGTTGACATGTTTCAGCTTTGTCCTTTTCAGTGGTTGAGGAGTTTAGATCAACGTGTGCGCGAGAGTATTGACTATGCTATTTGTTTGAATAGTATTGGTTCCTGGAATAACGAGCTGTGGATGCATATATCAAAGCCCCCTGAAAATGCCGTCATAAAGCAGATCTATGAAGTAAGTGGTGCTGATTTCCATGGATCTTGCTCGGGCTGACCTTGCAACCTGTATCTTGTCTAAGTGATGGATGACTTGACTACATTTCTTGCAGTCCCTTGCTGATGTAGCTGGAGAGTTGGGGGTTACAATCGGCATCAAGCATAAGAAAATAAATATATCAAATCCACGGGTAAGTTTACAATGTCACTCGACCCAATTGATGGGATCATTTGCAGATTCATTTGCTCCAAAAGATCTGAGGAAAGATGGTCACTGTCAGAAATGGCAGTCCGCCATTTCATCCATGGAATGGTCTCCTGAGTCGTTTTTATTTTATTTTTTGTTTAAAGGGGGGCATGTTCTTACACTTTCGGCCAGTTTCTTTGTTTTCCTTTTGGTTTTGGTATGACTGGTCCGAGAATCGAGATCATGAGTATTGGAATTCGGAACCTTTTATAGGTCGCCTGGGAGCACGAGCAGTTTTCAAGGTTGAGATTAACTGCTGTCACTCTATCCGAGCTTGCTCAGGCGCCAGAACTGCTGGAAAGCACTGGAGGCCTCTACGACACCAGGTAAGGCTCAATCACACAAGCTTCTACTCGGAGGCCATAGTGTGTCATTTTACCAACAGTAGTAGGCGGGTAATATGAGGGAATAGATTGGTTTTTATTTCAAATTAATTTGCTTTCATGGAGGTCGTTCTTGAGTTCAACAAAGATGGGAACTTTATTTTTTTTGCCCCCCCCCCCACCCACCCACCACCACCAAGTTGAAAGCGTTTTGGGGGACTATCAAACTGAAAGATGATCCTCAGTTAAATCTACACCCTTTTTACTATATTTGGTGTTTTCTGCAGGAACGCTGTCGATGAGATGGCTGTAATTAGAAGTGCCAAAATAGTCGCAGAAAGTCTTGCTGTAAGTCCGTTGCTGATTCTCATGTTCACTCGCCTTATTCATACACGCTTGAGTTGACTAGTATCCATTGCTGTAAATATGTCATATCATGGTAGATTCTTAGGAGTAAAGAGATGACTTGTCGGACATCGGAAGTCAACGGCGGATCATCTCCTCAAGGAGAATAAACCCAGCTACGATCCTATATTATTTAAATTTTTGTTTATTTTATTGCAGAAGCATATTTATGGCCATCAAAGGAAGAAGATCCATGTTTTTGAGGACAACAGCAGCCTGGCAGTAAATCCCGCGTATATCAGTTCTTGGCTGGATCTCTTCTCAAAGACTCCTCGTGTGGCCCCTTTTCTTTCCAAGGCCGATCCCCTGATCTCTGCTCTGAAAAAGGTCAAACTTTATGATCCTACTTATCTCTCTTTCTCTCTCTCTCTAAACAAACCAACCACCAATAGATTGTGTAGAGGGAGAGAAATGATGTGTGTATATCCTCCTATTTATGGACCCATCGGGAATTCACTTCTATCTGATATGATGTGATGCTTACTGAAATATATTCTCTGTGAATCGAGCTATGTTCTTCCCTCTGCTCGGTGTTCTTGACTTTTGTCTGCTCAATTCAATCGACTGACCTTGGGAAATTCACTGATTATGGCAGGAACTGTCGGACCATACAGTGGAGGTCAGCTTGCAGCACGACGTCCTTGATGGAATGTTCACCTTCTACGACTCATCGAGTGCTAAACTGAGCATATATCAGGTGATTTCTATTCGGAGGGGGGTTGACTTTTCCGAAGTCAAGAACCCATCTTGTTGTGTCAGATTTCGCAGCGCCAGAATTCTTTAATCAATACTCCTTGCATCCCATGCTCCGTTTCAATCGCCACAAAAAGTGGAATTCTTGACAGAGTGGGTTGACTTATTCCATTTTTTCATCTCTCTCCTCAGGTTGCAAGCGTGACCTTTGATCTTCTCCTTCTTCTCGCCGTGGGATCTTATTTAGTTGTCCTCTTCAGCTTTCTTGTCATTGCAACTCGGGTACGAACCCCTTTTGCCCACTTCTCTCTCTCTCTCTCTCTCTCTCTCTCTCTCTCTCTCTCGCTCTCCGTAGGACACAGATCATCTAGTTTTGATTACTATTAAATTCCCAATCACAGAAATCCAGCGGATTCCTCACGATTCCTCGGTTTCTTTCTTCTTAGGGTCTCGACGATCTCTTGAGCATATTCAGACGGCCTCCGCCACGGAAATTGAAGGTAGCCTGAGATCCCACGGAGCTTCCAGCTGCTCAGAGGTAGAGGACTACCCGATTCTCTCAAAGAACTCCGCTGCAGGAAATTTTTGACTCTCTATTTTTGTTTAGCTCTTTTGGGCTGACCCAGCCGAGTTAGAAGACTCCTCTTTTAGGCCTTTCAGCCAATTGATTAGATAAGGCTTGTTGTCAACGATGCTTGTGCTTTGGAGCAGAATCACCATAACAGGAGAGGCTTCGTTTGGCCCCCGGATTAAGCCATCCGTTGACTTTTGAGCCTGATCCTGAGATCAGGTTGGAGAATTTCCTGCCTTTGGTCGCACCCTAAGAAGCCTCAATCAGCTACCCTCTCTCTCTCTTCTTAACCACACCCACCGGAGATGGTGAAGGGGTCTGAACTGGGCTTCCTCTACCAAAGCTCTGGCTGTGCATCAGGTCTTTTACAGGGCCTGGCATGAGCTATATGAAGCTTGAGGAGGCTGGGCCTGCCAACCCTGGTTCGTACCATAGTAATGAACAGTAATGAATAAGCTAGAGAGAGAGGATCTGACTACAGCAAAGAATGAGACTGAGTTCACAGGAGGTGGGGCCGAAGAAGAAGACGAAGCAGAAAGAAGAGAGGCATGAAGCTGATGTATTGTCTATACACATACCTCCGCATTCCCCTGGGCAAGTGCCATTTTATTCTGCAACCCTCTGCCAGTCCCACAAACGAATGCAAGATACAACTTTGAATCGTAATTAATAATCTAACAAGTGGCGAAGGAAAAAAAACTTGACCTCACCGCCCCAGGCTCCATCCTCTCTCCGCCAGAGCAACCCGGACCCGGGCAGCAGCCTCCCCGGCGTCGTTCAGCGGCGGGTAACACCAGCTTTCGGATATCTACAGATCCAGTGAAACCCAGGAGCAGAATATTAGACAACTCATCACACCAGATTACGTAATCATCATCCCACGCTGCTGTTGCTCACTCACATCTTCTTTGCCGGTGAACGGCCGGGACATGCCCCTGTCGCGGAGGCTCTTGTGGAAGGCCGAGAACTTCCACGTGCAGCGCTCGGCACCCGCCACGTAGACCGGCTTCCTGTGGGAAATTATGAGAGGTTCTGATTGATTACTAATGGCACAAAGGAGGGTTTTTTTTTTTTTTTGAATGATGGATGGTGTACCCAGTGGTGCAGGCCTCGCTCAACATGCTGACGGAGTCTGCTGTTATGACGAACGCGTCGGCCCAGGCAAGGTGGCCCATGTGGGGGTTCGGATCTGAGATGACGCCAAGTTAGTCAATTATCATATATATTGGAATTATAATTCCAAACTACGATTATAAAACCCACATGAATTTTTTTTTCTTGGAATTAGAGAACAAAAGAAGCATAACAAAGGACCCACTTGCCCAAAAAAAAAGAGAGAGAAAGAAAAGACACTTCTGGGTGATTACTAAACTCTGTGCCAATGTATAAGTAGAATTCAAAACAAGCATAAAAAGGGACCCAGATGGGATGAGAGAGAGAGAGAGAGAGAGAGAGAGAGAGAGAGAGAGAGAGAGAGAGATTTACCTTCTCCACCCCAAATATAGACCTTTGGGTGATCACGAAATTGTCTCAATATAATGCCTGAGACCTGTTAAAGATTGAAAAACGCGAAAAAGGTCACATACTTTGTGATGAAGTTGAGAATCGCTTATGAAATGAGGGCAGATGTACATGCGTTGCAACCTTTTCAGGTGTTCTCCTGGAGAAAGAGACTCTGACGCTACCACAACTGGGCAGCACCTTGTGCAGCGCATCTACCAACTGCTTGGCGAGGTCTACACCATATCTACAGTGGCCTGACATAATCATAAAGATTGCATAAGATCCAAGTGCATCAAACGTTCTATCTTTATTCTGTTTATGTGGTACCCTACAAAACATTTGCCTATCGTTTCCTGGAAGGGAATATTTCTGTTGCATTAACAAGACTACTACACTCCGGGTCACATAGAGGCTATGATCAGATTGTACATTGTAAGGTTCTCTAAGCCAACTGCGAGAAATTTTATGAAACCTATATGTTGACAAGATTTGGTGTGTATCATCGTCCTATTGCATTTAACAGGAAAATTCAGACAATTTGAAGTAAAATGAAATTAGGTGGGACAGTAATGACTCATTGCCAAGCACAAAAACGCATGCGAAAGATAAAATAAATTATCAGTGCCAAGACGAATGAGTGTGCAAGAAAAGGAGAGAAGCATAGCATTACTTGTTGGGCCGCCAATGTTTATGACCAGCAAAGGCCTAGGGAGGGGTGCCAACTCATTATGCCACGTCAGAGCAGCAGCCCGAAGTGTGGAAGAGTCAACTTGATGTAATGCCCCAACAGTGAGAACCTGATCTTCCAAAAGTTTCAAAATGAGACGAAATTAATTAGTAAACGAAGGCTTGAAAGAGGAAAAATATGTAATCCAACAGAAAAAACAAGTACCCTGGAGAGCATACCACATTACTGCCAGGGGGTTCTCGTGGAGTTATCCACCGCCGTAGAAATTTAGGGATCTCTTGTTGTCCACTTGGTGTCAAAGGATAATAATCATGCTGCGGAGTGACTACCATATCAAACCGATCTAGATGTGTTCTCGGATGTTGTATCTGAGACAAAATAGTAAGGTAAGAGAAATATTCCAAGTGACCAGTTCAGACAAAACGTGACTTAGATAAATGCATATAATAATTAACTTGCATTGACTCACAACCTGAACGACAAAAACACTTTGGGGTGCTAAACGCCTTATTGAACTGGCTATTGAGATCGTATCCCAACCTGAAGCAACCACTAGCAATGGACCTTCCCTGAAACATTCCAGGATGTTATACTTTTAAATATCGGCTGAAGATAAATATACTACAAAAAATAAAATATTCGTAATATACTAGACGACTGTTGGGGGTGAAGAGAAATATTCGTAATGAAAAATATTCGTAAAATTCATCAAATATACTAGAAAAAAAAATCGTAATATGCAACAGATATAAATAGCGGCTGAAGAGAAATCCAAACTAATAATAGAAACTACTGATATCAATTCAGACATTAGACGACTTTATAAAACAAAACTTCAAACACAACATAATAGAAGCATAGATAGTGCACGGAGTAGATGACAAGGCAAATTTGACCCACCAAATCACCCTAAAGTCTGCAGACACCTTTGCCTGAAGCAATGCAGATATTAAACAGGAGGATGAGAAAACATGCATACTGTATGAAGGGTTTTCATCCAATCACTTCTATTTGATGCCATTCAAACTTTTGAGTAACCCGTGAACACAAAGTACTCCTTACACTTCTCTGACGCAGAAAAATAAGATGGGGAAACCAATAATCATATAGCGAAACATACTTATCAAAAGTCTCGTGAGCCATTGCTGCGATCTGCTTTGCATCAGCCTCTAACACAGAAGACAAGCCGCTCATCCTACCATTTTGGTATGGTAATGACGACACTTTCTTCCCCTGAAGTAGCATGAATAGCCGCGATTCCCCAAATACTCTTCTGATGGCATAGTCTAACTTCTTGTGAAATGATACAGGAAGCCAACGGAGCCAATCATTGATCCGTCCTCTTGGTCTTGTAACCCTCTGCATAAATTATCAACAGAAGCTCAGAAATTGAATAAGTAACTGGAAGAAAAAAAAAAAACTGTCCAATTTTGCTTCAGGACTAAAGGAAAAAAATCCTGATAAATGAGAAAAATAGATGGTCAGAGAAAAGAACAAAACTATAAAGCAATATTGTTATAGAAAGTTTCAATAAAAAAATCGTGCAAGTAAATCACATATATTTCTTCTAGCACAACCGTAAAAAATAAAAACGATCTCAATATTCCGTGATTTTTAAAACATTTTTACAACAGAGACCTCATAGCTCATGCATATCTCAATACAGAAAAAAAAATAGAGAAGTCATACGACACAATAATATTGCCACACCAGTGCAAACTGGGAACTTTCCCACCATTATAAATCGGTAACTTTTATGCTATAAAATTGAGGCAGAAGAAACTGTTCATTGACACTTTTGGGGATAAAAATAAGATGTACACGGATATATAAATTAAAAAGCGACGAATGGATAGATTTATCCAAGTATAAAGCAAATGGATTCATGTTTTCTTTTAGCAAAAGATGAAACATATCTAAATACTTCATATGCTCGTATTGCAAGATATATTGAAGATAAAAGCACGCTAGGGATGACACAAAAAACGTGAACGAATTCTGTGCACAGAACACGACCACTGACTTCAGGGTTTAACCATTTATCACGACGTAGTGATAGGTTCGTATGGTTCAATGCCCGTCATTGCCTCAATGACGCCTAAATACCAACAGGAAATTATTGGGGTCTAAAAATAGTGATTGTTGGTTTTCGTGATGTTGACACTGGTTTCTGAAGTGAATACACAATTTTATTAACAATAGGAAACACGTTTCTTGTGATCAGAGACTTATTTACAATTATGGCATCGAAAGCGACGCTTTCAATTTGTCATTTACAACAAGAAGTTGTCTCCTGAGAAGGGCAGCGAATGCTAGTGAATCACAGTTTCCATTCCCACAAGAACCCTGCTGCTCTAAGATTAAATAACTATCACAGGACATAGGTTAGAAGGGGAAAATAGTATGACAAACTGCGAAGAAAATTGGATTCGAATCCAATCAGTTCGTAGACATAGAGGATGTGTCGAAAATTTCGCTAAAAAAAACCAGAGCAACCAAGAGAACAAAACACCAAAACACAAAATTCCCACAAAAAGGTTTTTCATTCGAATTTCAACAGTATCAAGATGGTCCGAAGGAAAACAAGCACGGCTCAGAGAATCTGGAAACACCAGGAACGCACATATAGTGTCTGGTTGTCGGAGAGCCCCAGCGCGCGAACCAGCCCGATGCACTGATTCTCCGCGCCGGAATAACCATTACCGATCACGACCGCGCGCCTCACGACGCTGTAGCCCCCCCCCTCGAAGATCTCCGGCATCCCCAGGGTAGCGCCGGGCGGCTCCGGAAGTCTGATGCTCCTCATGAGGCCCAAACGGACAATCAACGCCGCCGGCACCTGCAACTACGACATCAAAAACCGACAATTGATCACTCCCCGCTCACCAGAAGATGATCAATAGGCATGCAACCGCCTCCCTCGACAGTTCTTCCCTTCGTCCGGTGTAGAAGCGGTTAGGTTTGAGCGAGTATAAGCAAGTATATAATGAAACGTTTCAGCCTTTTTAAAAAAGACAGTTTGGCCGAGTGGTCTAAGGCGCCAGATTTAGGCTCTGGTCCGAAAGGGCGTGGGTTCAAATCCCACAGCTGTCAAGTTCCATCAACTCTTTTTCTTTTTACCGGTTAATTATGAAAGGAGGTGGCTTTCCTCCCAATTTTAATTTACGTATTAATTAATGGTACTCGCGCTTAGTTTTTGTCCATTTATCAAATATTTTATTTTCTGCTTCTATTCTTTTTTTCGAGTTAATAAGAGAACTAATTAACTCTTTTTACGGGTTATTATTTAACTATTTTTATTTTTACGTGTTAATTCTAAAATTATTTTATTTTTTTACATCTTTTTCACCCAAAGAGCATGCATTTTCTCCCATTTTGAATTTACCTAATTTATTTTCTGCTTCTATTTTTTTCGAGTTAATGATAAAATTAATTTAATTTTCACATCCTTTTCATCCGAAAGGGCGTGGGTTCCCTCCCATTTTAATTTACCTATTAGGCTTACTTTTAATATATTTTTTAAAAGTATCAGTAAATAAGTTAATGATAAAAACCATCTACTACTTGTTTCTTAAACTGTACTTTCTACTTGAAAAAATAATTTTAATAATTCAATAATTCCATAAAAACAACGATATATATATATATATATCACTTAATAAGCTACCTTGATTAAATTGTTATTAATATCATTTGGGTGCCTCACATGCCCGATTAGTATCCTTAAACCCTACTATATATGTATCCTCCGGTTCCTGCTGGTGCCAGTGATCTGCAGAAGCAGTAGATTCTCCTCCGACGACTCCCTTCCTCCCGGCCAGCAGGAAGCCAGCAGCCATGGTGATTGATGCTCGCTACTTCTCCCTCTCTCTCTCTCTCTCGGATTTCTTTGTTTCTCAGATGCGTGTTTTCGTCCGATCGCCACAGACCCACCAATTCTTCAGCCAAGTCAACAGTTTTAGCCTCTGTGGATTGGTTCGTTCGTGTGGTCTTCTGCAGTCGAGGAGGAAGACCAGGGAGCCGAAGGAGGAGAAACGGGACGCTTGGGGCGGCGGTGCGGAACGGCGAGCACGTTTCCGGCGTCGCCCACGTCTTCGCGTCGTTTGACGACACTTCCATCGTATGCTGCGTACTTGCTTCCCTGCCGATTTGTCCTCTGTAGTGACATAATCTTCAGCCTTGTTCTGACTTGTATGTAGCATGTCACTGATCTGTCCGGAAGGGAAACTCTCGTCCGTATCACAGGTATGGTTCCTACTTCCAATTTGGTAACGCCACCTTTTGTTCATCTCCTCCCGTTGACCTTTTTGCATCGAGTGGATTGGAATCGTATATTCTGCTCGTCAGATGATGTTCATCTCCTCCCGTTGACCTTTTTACATCGAGTTCGAGGCATCAAGATGGGATCAACGTGGGTCTTGTGAAAAAGTCATTCGGAAAGCCTCTTGTCATGATGTTATGCACGAGTCTCTTGATATCTAGCCAGCGGAGAGAGTTCTCTGGAAAGCTTTCAGTTGCAATCACTGGCGCAGTGAATCCTTGTACTTGGGTAGCATAAATCTCGCCCTCATTTTCCCCGCTGAGGTTTACAATAATTCAAGTCAACGAGAATACCACTTTGGTGCTGATGTAAGTCAAACCGCTGACCATGTTTCTCAACGCCACACGGAGGTCAACTGATTCCATAGCATTAGCTCTGTTGTCGCGGAGTCTTTGCTCCAAGGAATGAGTGTGAGATTATGATTATGACCATGCTGTTCTTGCCATGGTGTTTTTTTTTTTGTCTTAATTGAGTATTCATACTCTCATCACTATTGATCGGTGGCTCGCCCGCGAAAAACCCTGGGAAATTTAGAGTTTCTGCGGTGGAACCCTAATCGAGCAGGATGCCATTCATCGATCCTTCAATGTTTTCCTGTGGGAATAAAATAATAAAGCCTGTTGGTCGGTCAACCTGAGTTGAGCTGGACGAGGGGCGAGCGTGGGATCATGGAGGGCCGCGGCTCCTTGCCGGGTTCGTAGGGATGGTTCTCCCGGAACTCCTCCAGGAGCGCCTCCAGCGGCATTGCCCGCAGGGACTCGATCTTTCCCTTGCTCGGCAGCTCCGGGTCCGACCTCACCGGGGTCTCACCGCTCGGCTCGTAGCTCTGCGGGGAGGGAGAGAAACGCTCAGGTGAGTTATAGAGAGAGAAACGCGAGGCGCTCAGTTGAGTGGGTGGATGGGAAGTAACGGGTGTGCGGGGTTTGTAGAGAGAGAGGGAGGGGAAGGAGAGATGAGGGTTTGGTCTGGGATGATGGGCACGCTCGCTCATTCTGCGAGAAAATGATAAGCTTTAATATGAAAACCCAGTAGAGAGATGATGAGCAAGTTTTTTCAGCGTGAGTGGGCAGCAAACCGAATACTTTCGGCGAAAACCCAGTAGAGAGAGAGAGGGGGCAACAAATGGAATACTTTCGGCGAAAACCCTGTTGATATAATATATGTCGAGCGAGCGAGTGAGAGAGAGCATATGGGTTTGTAGAGAGAGAGAGGGGGCAACAAGTGAAAAATTTCTGCGAAAACCCCAGTATATATACGTCGAGAGAGAGGGGGAACAATGGAAAACTTTTCGCGAATAACCCAGTAAGAGATATATATATATATATATATATAGATAGAGAGAGAGAGAGAGAGATAGAGAGAGAGATAGAGAGAGAGGGGGGGACGGCCACTTGCCTTGTATCTCTCCTGTAGGGCCTTCTGAGCCTCTCGACCGATTTCTGACGCCTGGGTGGCGTGCGCCTCCCGCAGACCCTCAAGCAAGCCCTCGTGGGCTGAAACAGCAGCCATTGTTCTTGACGACGACCCCCTTCCGTGCTCCACAGCGCCTGCAGGATTTTTCTCACACCGATCAGCTCCATCTCACGATGCCTTCCCGAAAAGGGAATTTCCCGGGGCCTTCTATACTATTTTTTTTGTTCTAATTTCTAACATCTTAAATCCAATGCAAGCCAATAGACACCGCAGTGTGCTCATCAGTTCAAGTTCATTCATGGTCGGGTGGTCAACGCTGGGATCAGCTACTTACTTCCGAGGCGGCGCATGATGTCTTCACTATCATCCGTTGCATCCTCTTCAGCGGCTTTACGAGCTGAGGCGACTTCAGCAGCGTGCTGCTCGTTACTCGCGATTGCAGTTCTGAACATAAAAAGTCAACGGCAGAGCCCGAAAGAAGATGAGGCCGAGGTAGGGATTTGGGCAAAGAATATAAGCTCAAAAAAGGTAGACACGACAAGCCAAAACCTGAAAAGCCCCTCCATAGATGCCACGTGGCTACCATTCATGCTTTTGACCGACGTAATTGTGCCTTTCCACTGGTCTGAAGCAGCTTCAACAGTGCTAACACTGTAACACTCACCCAAAAAGAAAAGGAAAAAAAAAAAAAAGAATCAGCGGAAAAAAAGAGATAATATATAGAATTCCAAAAAAATATGTACTTGGAATATATACTGGAGGCATGCGAGCAAAATTTTCTAAAAGAACCATGAAATCAAGAAAATTATCAAAAAAAATTAAAAAACTTGTTTTGGATCTGCAACTAACTAGGAGAAATATGTTCTTGGAATATATACCGGAGGGATGTGAGTATAGTTTTCTAAATGAAGCATGAAATCAGGAAAATTATTAAAAAAAAAATTAAACTTGTTTTGGATCTGCAACGAACTAGGAAAAATATGTTCTTGGAATATATACTGGAGGGATGTGGGTATAATTTTCTAAATGAAGCATGAAATCAGGCAAAAAAATAAAAACAGAAGAGTGTAGAAAGACATGCAACAGACCATCGCCGTAGTGCTGCTTCCATGCGACAGTGTTTGGCAGCAGAAAACTCTGCAACTTCTCTGGAATCACTCTCTGCCCCAAATGAGAGGTCCTCCCACTTCCTCTTGGCTTCATATGAAAGGCCTTTGATGGACGCCACGTGGGTGTCCAAAGATGCTTTGTTCTCCGAAGCAGCATCTCTCAGGACACCGAGCCTCACATCCACCTGCAAGGTTCCGATCAGCTGGTCTTGCATAAACAAGCCAAATAGAAGACTGAAAAACAACATTCTGCTGCCGAATTTACCAATTCCATCTGCCGACGCATATGGGTAGACAATAATGTAGTGACCTCTGCCAAAATCTTCTGTGTTTCAGACCTCGATTGCTCCTATTTGAGGCGTATACTCGTCAAAGAAAGTAAAAAAAATAAATGAAAGGCAAGATCTAAAGGTGACACTTGAATCAGGTACCTCAAATGCTTTCTGAAAATCGATTATATTTTTTCCTTGGACCTCATGCATCTGATTTGTCTGGTCATGAACCTTTTGCGCTTCGTCTCCAAGTCTGTCAAGAAGTCCCAGAACAAATTCGGACATGTCCTTGGTATTTTGCATACTCTTGTTAAATCTCTGAAGAAAGATTATAATTGCCCCATCAAAACTTCAGAGCTTCAAACACGATGATACACGAAGGCAAATAAAAAAGAACTAAAAGGGTGAAGGGCAAACCTCCCTGAGCTCCTGAGCGAAAGAAGCAATCTCTCCCTGTTGATTTGACAATGATTCTTCAAGATCCTTAACTATTTTATCTGACATCACCTCTCCGGAAGATAGAAGCTGGTGCCACGGCGAAAAGAGTTCAAAACAATTGACCACAGCAGTTAAAAATCATAAAATATTTCCAGAATCCACTGCTAGGCCGCTGCAATTATCTTCCACACCCATATCTTCCCCCACTCCCGTCCTAAACAAGACGCTTGCCACACAGCCCCAAGATGTAATCGACGGCTATAATTGAGCAGAAAAACACAAAATAATCACTAGCTTGGACATTGAGCTTTATGCCCACGTGCCTGATCCCGTGTCCTCAACCTTGACTGCTATTAACGTAGTTTACAGTAAACTGTATGCCAAAAGATATGAATGATTAAATGCAAGGAAGAGAAGTCGGTCGCTTACTTCCTCAAGAGAGCCATAGTTTGTGGAAGCTACTGAAGACATCTGTTCTAGACTGCCATTCATGCTTGACTTGTGCAATCGGACAATATTTTGAGCTGCTTCAATGTGAGAAATATACAAAGTCCTCGAAGATAATACTTTCTTCTTCAGCTCTTCTAACGACTGCATTTAAGAATTTCATAATTCCGTGAGGCAGATGTTCAATTGGAAGGGATGTAATCAAAATGACTAAAACTGTTACAGGTTCAACCTTATCCTGGAATTCTACGCAAGATTGGCACAGCTCCTCTACGTGCTTGAGTTGTTCTTTTTGACGAGCTATAAAAGAAAACACGGTGCTACAGAGAGCACTTGTCTTCTCTGAAAGATAAACTTGAAAATTGTGCACAACCGACTTATTTGCAGCGCTCAGATTGTCTTCCCTATCTGCAGGATCACATGATCCAGTGGTCCAATTAATGAGAAATATTGATTTTTACATTGGGGGTCTCAAAAGGCAATACACTTCACAATGGGAAAAGAATGGGTGATTACCGATCTTAGAATACAGTGAGGCATTCTCTCGATTCAACTTTTCCAAGTCAGATTGCAGAACACAAGCTTGATGGACCAACGCATTTTCTTATTCAACATAAAGGAAGGTTAGAATTTAAGATTGAAATTTCAGTGGATAAGCCATAAAATTATACGGACCTGCCTTCTTCTGCTCAGATATTATAAAATCTTTCTCCTTCAAGGCATATTGGCATTGTTTCAGATCTTCCCTTGTGTTACCAAGCAACTTACTGGTATAATCAAGACTTTTCTGCACATGTCATACCGATAAATAGCCAGTGTTTGCTATTAACAATTCAATAAGACAGATGCAACATTATGGCGAAGACTACCTCTGTTGCTTCTAGCTTTTTACTCAGATCGGAACATTGGTGCAACTGAGCATTATACTCCTCTTGCAGGTCATCTATTTTCTGTGCAATAACCACATGTAAGAAAACTGATTTGAAAACAGGATATTTAATTAGTTCTAAAATGCATACCACTATCTCTCTAGAGCACACGGTTGGAAAAACTACATCACCTTTTGATTTGTTTCCAAAACGACGCCCATCTGCTCAATCTGATCAGCCATTGCCTAGAACATTAAAAAAAGAATTTTGAGCGGACTATTCGAACAATCGAATTTACGTTCATGTTTACATTCAGTAAACATTATAAGCAGCAAATCCATTACTGGTCAGAAAAAAATGTGTGGCTTACGATAAAATTAACAGAAAACACTGTTCACATCGTTGAAATATTTGTTTCATACAATCACATACCTTTCTTTCAGACTCTTCTTGATAGTAACGTTCTTTTGGAATGTAAACTCCAACCTTTTCACGAGCAGCATAGACTTCTGGTATTGTTAAGCTTCTTTAAGTAGAGCGCATAGAGATAAATGATTCACAAAAACGCAACCCAGCTCATTCAAAGCATAATTTCCCAAGCAAACAAGAAAAAACCCTACAAATGAATAATATTTTACCAGCTTTAAGACGCTCAATTTCCCCATATAAGTCCTTGATCAGTGTAGATTTCATCATTTTTTGGTTCACCTACAGGTATAAACAATTCAGGCAAGGTTTATCAATAATGTTTCGCAAGCCAGTGGGTTGAGTTCAGGAATTGATCAACATAAATAATGTTTTCTATTTTATCATGTCACACATTATACCACATACTGAGTTCAGGGGGGAATGATATTGACGAATTTGGATACAATACTGACGTTATATCAGTAATACACGAGTATTTGATTAGAAAAAAATGTTTTTATAAGAATGTGTGAAATTAATTCTGACAGGAACTCAATATTAATAGTTAAATCTTTGAAACTAATCTCGATAAAAGGAGAAGAAACGCTGGAAAGGAATTGCCGATACTTCAATAAAGAAAATCAGTGCTAAATTACACTTCCTGAACTATTTAATACAGTGGTGGAATGTACTAAAAGTAAATGTTTTTGGTTCTATTTAACACGGCGTTGGAATCACCACTACAAAAAGACAGCCATGTGAGATAGCCTAAGCTCTTATTTGCATTTATACTTATTAAAGAACAAAGTGGCCACCGAACTTTATTGATAAAAAAGGTAACATTAAATGAAATTATAACACGAGGTTATCCAGTCAGTAACATACCTCTGGTCGATTCTTTATATTTTTTGCTCTGTGAGCATAGTCCAATGTACTAAGAGTCTCCTCAAGACAGTGAACAGATGGAGAAACAGTTGCAATGATGCATGTCTTAGTTCTCCCACCAAGCGAATCACGAAGCAAGCGAGTAAGCTTGCTGTCTCTGTACGGAAATAACTAAAAATTATACATAAAAAGAGAAAAAAGTAGAAAACAGGCAAATAACAATCAAGTGGTGTGTTAAAACAGAAAACCTATATGGAATATGCCCAAGATGCTCAACCAAGGCAGTGATGACACGGCCTAAAGTAAGCAAACTCTTATTAATTTCTCCAGCCTCCCTTGCACGGCCCTAAAATTTACCAATAAACAGCATGAACAGATGTAAACTGCGAATTTCCAAGAAAAATTCACAACAGCCGTTATCATTCCTAGATGCTGGCATCAACACAAAGGCAAACCTCCACCAAATGATACAATGAATAAGTAAAATCGAAAAAACGAACGTAAATAATGCACAGTACCTCCCTGGCACCGGAACGAGAAATATTCTCAGACCCAGCGAGGTCAACAAGATTTAACTTCCCACATTTTATTAGCTCTTCACCTTCTGGAGTTGCCTCCTTGATATGGATAGTGATAGAGAAGAGCGAGTGAGAGCGACTGGTCGAGAAAAAAAAACTAATGTCAAAAAATGGAGAAGAAGATATGCACAAAGTTGAAAATGGAGTAGCAGATTCACAAAAACAACCTGGATTGCTTGTTCAGCAAGGTCTCTGCAGTTCGACGTTTTGTAGAGCCCCTTTCTAGAAGAGTGAAAATTTCTCCTGCGCTTGTGACAATCTCTTCTTCAAGACCTCGTACAAGAACACCTCCTTTCCCATCTTCCATTAGAGGCAAAGACTTTTTTTGCTTCTCGTCCAAAGTAACTTTTGAAAGTTCTTCAGGAGCTAGCAAATCAGTGATTTCCTCATTATACAACTCAAGGAATGTAACCTTCACGCTATATTCAGCATTTTGGCTTTCTAAAGTGTCAAATATCTGTTTGACAGCTCTCGGTATTACGCCAGCATTGGGTGGTAATTGACCATTAGGCGCACTCTGCCAACACCAAGTTAACACCAGTGACGTTCAATGTGATAATCTAGCAACGGGAACCATTATCGCTACGTTCTTTGTCTGCAACAGGATGACGCAGGTAAAACTAAAAATGAATCAATCTTTGTCGAAAAAAAATAAAATCACCTTTGCCCTTTTACATTCCCCTTCCATCGTGTATGTTTTTCCTGTGCCAGTTTGACCATAAGCAAAGATGGTGCAATTAAACCCCTCTAACACCTCATTAACGATTGGAATGATAGCTTGGTCGTATAAGTCCTTTTGGATAGCAGAAGGACCAAATACCTGCATAGGCACAAAATTAATCGAACTTTTAAACTTCTTTCGTGAAAAGGTTGTGTTAAGCATGCGTTCTGTTACATCTAATGAAAATAAAGGGCAAGGCAGCTGAACAACTTCTCGCTCATATTTAGGGACAAAGTAAAACAAAGAAGTATGACTCATTCATCAAGAGAACTGCCCAGTATCAAGACTGGTGAAGAGAGAGCATTCAGTGTACCTTTTAAAATTTAGAAGTCGAAGTTAGAACAAACATTAAGTTAAATGAATATCTAAAATACCCTCCATACTTGAACCAGATTCCTTCTAGCTATCTCAAGTCATGATAAGCTGATATTCGTGCTTAAAAAAATTTCTACGCAGTCACCTTCAAACTAAAACACCCTCCATACTTTAAACATCAGCCCGGTTGACTTTGCTTACATTCACAATTTATTTTATTTTATTCCCATTCCTTGTTATGATCAAGTCAACGGATTCGGATCACTAGAAACATCAAAAAAGGCAAACTAACTGTAAAAGAGATTCTAAGGTCTCAGGATCTGTTAAAAGCTTGCATACAATGTGGTTTTATCTCGTATGATTGTTTTGTAATCAGCTTCCGAAGCACATTTATTTTAAAATCTCGTCACGTTGACCAAATTCATGCCCAATCTGCATGACATTTCATGGACCACGATATAAATTAGACAAATGACAAGACCACTCCGGTTAGAACACGAATGTAACTGGATTAATTCTAGATTCTGAAAAGTCCCCTCGGCATGCCATGTTCAATGCTTATCACTCCGTCCACGGTGGATTTGAAAAGGACTAACCAAAGGTGCTTATCTATTCAATTCCCCTTACTACAGGCAAAATAACCTTGGTGATCGACAGATTTGCATATGATTGACGAAGTACAACAAAGCATGCCGCAGACAGATGTAAGTAGCAGATATGCCAATTTTAATCGAGAATTCCTCTCTTAATGGCCATATTGAGGTTCCCGGGGGAAATTATTTTCTTTCGAAAATACCCTCCAATAATTTTTTAGCTAGAAATATATGAGATGAAACTATACCAAACTGTCGATAAAAAATGTGGACTAAAATGCTCGGGATAACACGGATGTTTGAGAATTTCACCGACTTGCTATGGTCTTGAATTTCGTTAGCTTACTTAGTTTCACGTTGCCAATGAGAACAGAAATTTAAGTACTTCTCAATTCAACATGCGGAATCCTCTAAGATACTGTTAAATATCGTACGAATGGCCCAAACAAAATAGAACGAATGAATCCAATCGCGCAGCGAAAGGAGAGGAGAAAACAACAGATACAAGGAAGTTAAAAGGAGACCAACCTTATCGAAGGTGAAAACCCTGTCAATCTGCTTCCCCGCTATGGTCTGCCTGACTGCAACCTCTCTCTGGAGGTCATTGCATGTCAACACCTGCGGTGCGTTACTCCGCAACTCGTCATCGCTGATCGGCCTGCGTAAAATGAAAACAAAAGAGAACCCAGGATTCGCTGATTAAGACTTCCACGCGTAAAGAAACAACACGGACATTGGCACATTTCAGAGATACGATCCAGCTCAGCCAATGGCAACCCCAAATTTGGGCAAAATGGCAACCGGAAGCCCGCCCGGAGAACTCATCTGACGGTGGAGGTGATGTGAGAAATCTAAATCTATCCCGCTATTATTACCTGCAACGGAGGAGGACCTGCACATTCACCGCCTTCTCTTTATCTTGGCGACACGACGCCATCTCGAACGTCGCGGCGCCGCCGAGTATGGGAAATCGGATGAACAGAACAGCTTCTGAATCGAGCCGCAGTGCACACCACCGGTTCTCTCCCCCCCTTTTCTCCCTCTCTCTCTCTCTCTCTCTCTCGGTCTCTCGGGAAGGGCGGGACTACGAAACGCAAATTTTGAATTCTAATCTCCCATACCGCGAGTAGTGACGTGGGATAATCATGTCCGTCAGATTGGCACGACCAGCCAAGGTGATATAGATCGACTGCAGATCATCAGTTGCTCCAACACTCGCTTAGATGAAACTTATTCAACCCAGGTCAGCATGACGCAAGAATAAGTCCGTTGGCCTTGACGTTGTGAGAAACGTCACGGCAAGTCACATGGCGGCTGCACAAGTCAACATTAAACACCGCCGACGAGTGACAGGACCGTAGATTTAAGTTTTTGCGAAGAATATAATTCGGTAAAAATAGAGGACAGTAATCGTATAATATGTGATGACGTGGACACAGTCTAGACTCGCTTCCCCAATTCTCCTCCCTCTCTCTATCTCTCTCTCGCTCGCTCGCTCGCTCGCTCGCTCGTTCGGCATGGATGCGCAGGAGATGGAGAAGGAGAGGGAGCTCGGGGGGACGGAGAAGAGCTGGTGCAAGGCGGTGCCGGGAGGGACCGGCATCATGGTCGTCGCCGTAGCCATCTCCAGGCCTATCGAGCTCTCCTTTCTCCGAACGGCGCTGCAGAAGCTCCAGGACTCCAATCAGATTCTCCGCGCCAAGCTTCCTCTCCAGAGAGGCGTCGAGTCCTTCACCATCTCCCTCGCTCCCTACGTCGAGATCGAGTCCTTCGACGCCGTAGAGACCTCCGAGATCCTCAGCCGCCGGATCGGCGCCTCCGGAGAGGTTTCCCCTTTCGAGCGCCTCGTCGAGCACGATCTCAATCGGAATCCGTGGGCCGTACAGGCGGGATCCTCTGCAGCGGCGCCGGCGCCGGTCTTCTTTGCGGCGACGTACGCGGTGCCGGAGTCCGAGACGACGATCGTCTCCCTCCGGCTGCACTCGGCAGTATGCGACCGTACGACGAGTTCCTCCGTCCTCTGGTGGCTCCTGGGGCTCTTGGCGGAGATCGAGGACGGCGACGGTGGCGAGAGGACGGCTCATCCGGGGATCGAGGAGATGACGATAATGGCGACCGCCGGGAAGCCTTTCTGGGCGCGGGGCCGGGACATCCTCGGCTACTCCTTTAACTTCACGAGGTCCGCCTGCCTCCCCTTCCAAAACACCGCCTTGCCTAGGTCGTCGGCGATTGCCAGGATGGTGCTGACTGCCGCGGAAACCTCCGACCTTCTCTCCGTCAGTGCTCTCTCTCTCTCTCTCTCTCTCTCTCTCGCTCGCTCTCGTGTGGCAGCGTGAATTTTCCGTGGATTTGTGGATCATATTCAACGAATACGTTTTTTTCGGAAATTGCTGTTGATAAATATCTGATATAATTAATTAGATCTTGCCTTACAACAAACGTAACGAGATTTTCGTAACATTATTCGAACAGAGATTGGAATGATTTTAAAATATGATTACATTTGTTGTTGTTTCATTCTGATCCTCTTCCCGACCGCGCAGGCCTGCAAATCTAGAGGCGTGAAGCTCTGCGGGGTCCTAACGGCCGCCATGCTGCTCGCGGCCCTCTCTTCCAAGCACCTCCCCGCCGGCCGTTCGGAGTCCTACACAGTCATCACCATGATCGACTGTCGGAAGTTCCTCGACCCCAAGCTGGACAGCCTCGACCTCGGTATGACGATTTCAAACGTCCTCTTCGAAGCCGGAGATGGCGGACGGATCGAGATCCTGACACGAATCCATCTTCGATCCTCTCCTGTTGGTCAGGCTTCTACAACTCCGCGATACAGAACGCCTACAGCGTCCGCGAGGGCGAAGATCTCTGGGAGGTGGCCGACAGATGCCACGGCTCCCTCTCCAAGGCGATCGACGGCAACAGGCACATAACCGACATGGCGGACCTTAACCTGCTCATGCGCAAGGCCATCGACAACCCGATCCTCACGCCGTCGTCCTCCATGAGGACCGCTCTCCTCTCCGTCTTCGAGGAGACCGTCGTCTACGAACCCTGCCATATCTACCGCCGCGCCGGCGTCGAGGAATTCATCGCGTGCTCCTCCGTCCATGGGGTGGGGCCCTCCGTCGCCGTCTTCGACTCCATCCGCGACGGCCAGCTCCAGTGCGATTGCCTCTACCCCACCCCGCTCCACTCCCGGGAGCAGATCCAGGCGCTGGTGGACCACGCGAAGAGCATCCTTGTGGGGTAGGATCGGCGTTGCAGAGCATCTCCGAGCTCCATGATCCTCTCCGTGGATCCCATATACGGTAGAAATATTCATCTCATCATTTTTCTTCCAAAAACTGTCCGATCGGAGCTTCATGATCGATCGCTCGCCCTTCCATGGATCCCATATACTGCAACAGTAATCATCTTGCCAATATTCTTCCAAAAGCTGTTGGATCGGAGCTTCAGGATCGATTGATCTCCCTTCCTTAGATCTTACATACTGTAACAGTATACATCTCGTCATTGTTCTTCCGAAAACTGTTGGATCGGCGGTTCTAAACTGCAACATGGCGGCGGAATCCCCCAGAATCCGATTTATCTCGCATAATTTCCTCCACAAAAATTGAATTCCTTCTCCGCACAGGAAGGAAAAATTGCAGAGCCGCCGCAATTACGTTGGGTCCGCCATGCCGAATTATGCTGAATTCTGGTAAGTAACGAAAACAAATAAATGCGTTTTTTTCTCTACGAGAATATGCCTGAAATTAATGTCTGGGGTCTCTCCGATGTAAACTCTCCATAATTTTAGATAAAGTCAATCCCCATAATATCCCAAAATCACATGGAAGTCAAATATCAAGTCGTCTCCATAAAATAATTAAACCTCAATAATTACTAATTGCCCATCTAGTGATAGATAATCTGGAGAACGAGGACATTCCTCTCTCTCTCTCTCTCTCTCTCTCTCTCTCTTCCTCTGCCTTCAATGCCAATTTCTTAGAGCGATTGGCACCAATTAATTAAGGATACTCGATAATTTTCAAAAAATATTAAATGTAAAATGTCGTTAATTTATAAATATAGCGAAAATACAGCCATCGAGTTTTTTAAAAGTCGAATTTGTACCATCATCGGAAAAAAAGTTTTAAAAAAGTTATATATTGTACCATAACTCTCTCTCTCTCTCTTCTTTCTCTCTCTAGGTGGGTCGTCTGGTCTTGAGGGGGGGGGGGGGTGATGGAGATGGAGGGGCAGGAGCCATACGTTCTGGAAGAGGGCTATCCCTTCTCTCGTCCATTTGTTTCCCCATCGCGGATTTCCGCCACCACAACTTTCTCTCTCCACTCTCTTATTCCTCCCGGCCTCCTTATCGGGACGACTATAATTTTCCACCACCTCTTCCTGCTCAGCCCCTCTCCGCTGCCGCCGTTCCTCCCCCATCGCAGATCGCGATGGCTTCGGCTACTCTATCCGCGGCTAATGCTTCTCTCCAGGTTGATCTCTCTCTCTCTCTCGCTCCCTCGCTCGCTCGTTCCTTATATCTTGGTATGTTGATTCTATGAACGGTGGTGGCAGGCAAACGGGAAGGTATTCGCCGACTTCACCGCCGCCAGGGGTTCCCCCGCTTCGCTGTCCTTCGCCAGGAGGACCGGGGCCGACGACTTCGCCTCCGCCGGCGCGGTGAGCAGCTACATTCAAGCTCGGTTCCAGTTTTCTTCTTCCTCTGGTGGTCAGCCCGCCTCCGCTTCTCACCGTCAACGCCGGATCTTCAGTCCATATTTGACCGTCTCCCAATTCTCAGTCCCGCTTCCTCGAAAAACGTACACTGTCACTAGTAGGAGTAGAATCCAGTGAAGACAGAGGCTGCCTGGAGTTTTTAGAAGCCCGTTCTGCTGGAGACGCGCGCTTGAATTTAATCTCCGTGTGTTGACAAATCCCCTGCACATGCATGAACTCTGTCATCTCTGTGAAAGGGGGTTCAGGCATGTCTCCCGGAACTACTACACGGTGCTGCCATCGGAGAGCGAGAGTCGAAAAAGTGGTCTCAAAATCCGGGAAAAGTAGTATAATCATGCCTAATTATCGGACAACAATTTTTTCGGGGGCCAGACGATCAGATCGAAGGGATGGACAGTGCCGAGTCAGGTTCTCAAGTCATGTTACCACTAGTGGAGAAGGGTGTCTCAGCAGTCAGCGCTTAATCAGTCAGTTTCATTTTTCATTACCGCGACGCAGTAAAACGTTTTCTCGGTATTTTGTTTATTTTTGAGCTTGTCTCTCTCTGAACTCAGAACTTGGATTTTGTAGACATGGCTGTATTCGAGGAACATCGCCGCTGGGGGGAAGCTGGTTCCTGTCAGAGCACAGGTCACGACAGAGGCTCCAACCAAGGTAGAGAAAGAATCTAAGAAGAACGAGGAAGGTGTTGTTGTCAACAAGTTCAAGCCCAAGAACCCTTACACCGGGAGATGTCTCCTGAACACCAAGATCACCGGTGATGATGCTCCTGGAGAGACCTGGCATATGGTCTTTAGCACCGAAGGTCTGAGTTCTGTCTGATTGGATCAATATCTGCTCTGCATTGATTGGAGTGATGGTTAAATACGCTTTTTTCATACATTTCATTTTGATTCGCCATATAAATTTCCGTCTTTGTCATCAATTTTGTTCTCCTTTTGATTTTCCTTGTTCAAATTTATACTTTTTAATTCAAAAATTTTCTTGATTGAAATTGGTGCCGCTCGGCTGTCACTAGTTAAAAATTTGACACCGTCTCTGCTCACTAACTAGTATTCATCCAGAGTATGGCACAACTCGTAGGGATCTTTCTTGGCTTGGTACAAGCAGAAAACTGTAGTGAGTTCTGTCACTCCACGCGTCCTCATTTTGGAACCAGATAACGTAAGATTTAATGATGAAGATGACAATGTACATATATGAGTGGCTGCTGTTTAGTCCTCTCTCCTAGTTAAATGAATTTCCTTCGTGTTTCTTCTCGTAATTTCTCTTTCTTTTGGAGCTTTGTTTTGATTTTTGACTGTGGACAATTGGTGCTGGTGTAGGGGAGGTCCCTTACAGAGAGGGCCAATCTATTGGTGTCATCGCTGATGGGGTTGATAAGAATGGCAAGCCCCACAAGCTGAGACTGTATTCAATTGCCAGCAGTGCTCTTGGTGACTTTGGCGATTCAAAAACTGTGAGTGTGATCCCCGTCCCCACGCGCTCACTCAAAAAACGAAATGGTCATCTTTTCTAATTTTTCCTCATTTAGTCTATACATTCATATTTTCTTTGGAGTTTATCCAGTGAAGTAGTATAAAAAAATGGGCATTTCATTCCTTAATATTGTCATGGTATCTCATAGGATTTCAGATGTGCTGTCAACTTGGGATTACATTTCTTTTTCTGAAGCCAGCTGTAGAGCTTCCTAGGCGCTACTCTGTAGTTTAACTTCTCGTTCTCTGCAGGTTTCTCTCTGTGTAAAGAGACTGGTCTACACCAATGAGGCTGGGGAGGTTGTCAAAGGAGTGTGCTCAAATTTCTTATGTACGGATATTAACCCTCCACTCCACCATGCTCATAAATTTGTTGAACTGAAATATCGATAGAGGGGGAATTCATACAATATTTCCTATCAGTTGTCGATACTTCAGGCTAAAGTGGTTCTATCGAGTTTAAAATGGTTCAGCCTTGTAATGGATCAGTTCATACGCTGACTATGTCCACTGCTGTGTTCAAGGTGATTTGAAGCCTGGGGCTGAGGTCAAGATGACTGGCCCTGTCGGGAAGGAGATGCTTATGCCCGTTGACCCCAATGCCACCATTATTATGGTAATCATGGTTTCTAATCGATGCAGCCATTAGAGTTGTTATCTTTTCCGCAAGTGGTTGATATCATATGTACCATCCTGCAGCTCGCCACAGGCACAGGAATTGCTCCTTTCCGCTCATTCCTATGGAAGATGTTCTTCGAGAAGCACGACGACTACAAGGTATGTCCTCTCTGGAACACAATTTCAATCCGGTAGATGGATCATCCTAAAAAAGATCTTGCCAGATGCTGTTGCTGTCTCGCTGAATCATTCTGATCCTCCTGCAGTTCAACGGCTTGGCTTGGCTCTTCCTGGGAGTCCCCACAAGCAGCTCTCTTCTGTACAAGGAGGTGGGACGAAACACCTTAAGGACAATCTTCATCTCCTCACAATTCTTCTCCTAGCTTCCTGCCAATCATGGCCACTGGTCAACGGTACAGTGGCCATTACAGTGGAATCATCGCCATACCTTCGACCCTCTCTTGTGTGGCAGGAATTCGAGAAGATGAAGGAGAAATCTCCAGACAACTTCCGGCTGGACTTTGCGGTGAGCAGAGAGCAGACAAACGAGAAGGGGGAGAAGATGTACATCCAGACCAGGATGGCCCAGTACGCCGAAGAGCTGTGGGGGCTGCTGAAGAAGGATAACACCTACGTCTACATGTGCGGGCTCAAGGGAATGGAGAAGGGGATCGACGACATCATGGTCTCCTTGGCCGAAAGGGATGGTAAGAGAAATATGCCCCCTTGTTTGAATGAAACAGGCTAATCTGTTGGGTACAACTCATCAGTCTACATGACTCACGGCCGTGGTTTCATGGGCTTTGTGTGCTTCTCTGCAGGCATCGACTGGTTCGAGTACAAGAGGCAGTTGAAGAAGTCTGAGAAGTGGAACGTGGAAGTGTATTGATCTGCGTGTCTCTCCCTGTACAATTCTCTCTCGAACGAGCTGTGAGGACGTTTTTCGATAAGTTATGTGTTAATATTCGCAGATACATCTATCCAAGCCATCAAACAAGGCTTAGATCCACCTCTCTCTCTCTCTCTCTCTCTCTCTCTCTCTCTCTCTCTCTCTCTCTCTCTCTCTCTCTCTCTCTCTCTCTCTCTCTCTCTCTGTACTTCCCCCTTTTTTTTTGGTGGGTAGAGTTCATCCACTGTTTAATCTGTTCTCAGTGCACTGACTGATGGTGATTCTTAAATCCCCACCACTGGTGGAGTCCTCTGGGTGCCCATAAGATGCTATACTAACATAGTCTGTCATAGATTCAATAACCCATGCGTCGGTTTAAGTATTTTGATGTTTAGAAACAAATACAAAAGATTAAAAATATACATAAGTATATTATTTTTATACCCTAATATTCGGAAGAAGATATCAATTATTCAGGGCAATCTTATAATCCATCTCAGCCTCCATGAACTATGCTCATCTCCCACTCAATCTTTGAAATCATAGACCACCCACGACTCAGTATTGCATTGAAAAACATTGGCTGGTTGTTTTTCAAATTACAACCATGCAGAATATTCCTTCGGTTGATTATATATATATATATATTGTATTATAATCTTGATCTTTCTGACTACACCCTAAAAATATCAAGGCATGGTATCATAAGTCTTTGTGAAGATGCATGCCAATACTTAGTGGAAATTAATGTGGAAACAAATCTCTATTCATCATCTCTAAAATTTTCAGAATTTTCATAAAATTATTTTAGATATTATTCATCACTCGAGGAGAAAATAAAGGTTGTGGCATCTAGAGACATCTTTTATTCCAATATACCATGCATCACAAAGTAAATCTTTCTTCCTGAATCATTCTTGATACTATGATGTCTACTCTCATCCTCACAAAAACCCTACTATATGGAACACTCACAAATCGGATTATTCAATACTTTGAATATGATCTAGGAAGGAAATGGCAGTTTGGAATGAAATACTAAATTATGATTGAAACTCACCTTGATACCCTCCTTTCTCATCAAAAGAATCAACTCAACCTTCCTCATCTCATAATCCTTCTTCCCTCCAAGTACCTCACACCTTTCCCCTCACTCAAACTTCCTTGATCGCCTTCTCCACCACTCACTTCAATGTCATTGATGAACTTGACAAAAACGTGAAGAACACTTAAGACAAAGTTATGGCACATGAAGCTAAACTTGATCAAGTCAACATGCTTGTCTTTGTGATTCGTTCTTGATATATCTCTCAATTTTAACAAAAAGGGGAGCATCATGCATCTACTTAAGGGGAGACAACACATAAAATGAACAATTAATTCAGGGGAGCCTTGTAACAAACTGTATTTGTCTTAATAATTGGGTGTTTTCCATTTTTATATCTTTGTCATTTTTCAAGTTTTTAAATATTTCAATTCAAGTTTTATAAGATTTTTTAAACATAGAAAAGGGGGAGATTGTTGAGATATTGATTTTGATGCTTACAAATAAATTTTAAATAGTTATATTTGATAATATTCGGAAACTCACTTAATGGTATACCATTCAATATTTATTCTTCAATGTGAATATGATGGTTTCATGTTGAAATTGTTGTCACATATGAGGATGCTACTACTCATTGGGAAACTAACTATGAGAGCAATATAGGGCATTAGATAGATCATTGGAACCTGAGTACTTTGCTTTGCTAACATTTTTTTACAATATCATTGAGTTAAGAAATTCACTTGAGAGAAAAATAGTCTACATTCTTAACCCATAAGACTAAAATGAATTTTAGCTGCAAGATGGTGTTACATATATGAGTAGAAAAAAATCATTGAAAAGTTTACTAAAAAATAAAATTTTAAAAAAATATTATGAAATTTACAAAATTAATTAATGTATTTTGTATGGATTTTAAGGCACATTTATGGTCCAATAAGGAATGTTCAGCTAGCCATTGAGACCATTATTGTTGTCTCATTAAGCTACAAATAAAAGAGGGCCTTTCATAATATTAAAGATAAGAGAAAATAAGAAAGGTAAAATAAAATAATTATTAACTAGTACATAGTGGTCAATAGCTCCTGCTATTGTCCACTTTCACCAAAGATATAATTATCAAAGCCTCATGAAAGGCAAGATGATAAACTCATGTGGTATAAGAGCGCATATGGTGCACTTATCTACTATAGGACCCAACATGGTATGTGCATCTTCTACAAGAACATGTGGTGTGCTCCTTTCTATAAGCCCATGTGGTGTACATTTCTATTATAGGAGGACCACATGTCGTATGCACATCTATTTGTGAATATTGCTAGAATTGAGATTTCTAGTATAGTTTCATAAACTTGATAAATCTATACTGTAAAGAAAAACTGATCCCAATAAGTTAGTTGTAATTACATGTTATAATTAGTAGAAAACAATGAAGATTCCATTTGCAAGCCAAACAACTATAACATCTTGTTTTTATTGTTGACCTTTTAAAAAAAATGTTATTCAATTATATTTAAACCTAACTAAAGAAAGAGAACCTAAGAAGAATACCTATACATATCTATATAAATCTTAATGGTAACAATATTAAGAAATATTTTCAATTCCCTCTTTTTTGATTCACTAGTAAACCAATAGGGACTAACATTTTAGATATAATTTGATTATAATATCAATACCTTATTTAGTGAAGTATTATTTTAATAGTAATAAATTCTTGTTTAATACATTATAACTATTAGGCTTGAATATATAAGTTGATAACTATTTCATTTATTGTTTAACCATATACTATTTTTCAACTCCTAAAAAATATTTCATATTGGTTTCTGACTATTTGAATTTTTGATACGATCCCACTACTAACCTACAAAAGGTGTAAAAAAGGAGCATGTGTGCAGCACATGAGTGGGACTATGAGTACGACATGAGAAGATGGGGTTTAGGGCGGCAAAAGTTGGTATTTTAGAGAGGCGAGGGAACCCTCTTGAATATTGTTCACCACTTTACTCTTATTCTCCCTTTTCATCTCTATATTCGAGAAGGTCATCCTTCCCATCGTTTGGTCCCTCGTCATTGGCAAGGGTTCGTAAGTTTAATACGAAGTGTTCTATCCTTCCTATTTGCCCTGATTCGGTCCTACCCTTGAGGATTGTATCATTGGTATCAAAGCCGCGATCTTGTGACGACGTGCACTATGGCGCCAAAGATATCAAATGCATGTTTTGAAGCCTTAGAAGCAGACAATGAGAACCTTCGAGTAGACCAAAGAAGGATGGTCAAAGAGATGCAGAAAGCAAGGGAGGAATCCATGGATTTGATGTGTCAAGTCCTACAGAACATACATCAATTCTAACTTACAATATGTATGACATTGGAGGCTTTGGAGAAAAAGGAACCAAATCTGTAACCGACATCAAGCTATCGACCAGCACCACTAAAATCACGACACGAGGTACCACCTCTCCACCTCACCAAGAATATTTTCCGAATGAAGTTACAACTAGTTATACAACCATACAGTACACCCAAAAAGAGAAAATATTAATATTCTGGGGAGACAATCCCGAAGGCTAGTTAGAATGTGCTGAGAGGTTCTTCAGGTTAAACAAAGTATAGAAACGAAACCAACTAGAAATGGCAATGATGAAGCTCAAAAACTTGACATTGGAATGGTACTTATGGGAAGACAAAAGTTATCCTTTCTACAATTGACAGGACTTTCGAATGCAACTAAGAAAACACTTTGATATTACAGTAGAGGGAAACATATTCTACAAATTCTTAAATCTCCAACAAGATCAATCAGTCTAAGAATATTGGGGTGAATATGAATGTCTTTCTACATATCTACCGAAACTCTAAGATGTGGTCATGGAGAATACTTATATGAAGGGCCTAAAATCAGAGATTCAGGTAGAGCTAGCCCGTATGGGCCCAATGAGATTGATGAAAATTTATAGATGCGTCAATAGAAGCGGATTTGTTCTTTTTGGGAAGCATGAGATAATCATTTACCAAGATCTTCTTGACAAGGTAACGTTGCTTCCAATAAGTTTGCGGATAATTGTTTACCTACACGGTACGATGAACAAGAGAAGACCAAGCACCCAAACCCCCTCATAAAATGGAATTCTAAGAGCAACTTTCCACCTAAAGCAATAAGGAGAGACAATAGTTACCGGAAATAGATCATGTTGATAGAATTCACTATGAAAAATGACTTTACTATCACTGTGAGGAAAAATTCGGCTCAGAACACTTGCAAAAAGTAACTACAAAGTATGATTGTTCATAAAGATGACCAAGAGAGTTATGAGGATATAATATAGAATTTCATAGATGAAGAGTCTCAACCAACAGAAAGAGGAACACTATTCACAACACAAGTAGCCCTAAACTTAGTGGTGGGACTCACGCAAGCAAGAACCATGAAGATGGAAGGAACATTGCAAGGACAAGTGATCACCATCCTAATTGACTCAGGTTTGACGCATAATTTTATATGCTTGGAGTTTTGTGCACGCCTTAAAGTACCTTACATAGAAATCACGAATTATGAAATCTTCATGGAGAATGGAGAGACCCTCGAGGGTAACAAAATGTGTAGGGATATTTTCATACAAGTACAAGGCTTAGACATGATTGAAGACTTCTTACCATTGACACTAGGGAGCACATATGTGATATTAAGAATGCAATGACTTAGTTCGACAGGATAGATACATGTAAATTGGGGGACATTAATCATGAAGTTTGTGATAAATGATGTGGTGAAAGTCCTTAGAGGAGATCCAAAATTGTCTAAATCAGAACTCTCACTAAAGATGTTGTAGAAAACTATCAGCAGACAACCTCCGATCCTCTTGGAGTTACATTAGGTGCAACTACAACCCGAATAAGTGAGTACCACTAAGACCACCGGAATTGAATTCAAATTCAAATAATTATTTCCATCTATATTTTCTCTTATAATGAAATTACCGTCAGAGCGCGAGGTGGACTATTCCATCAACATTGTTCCTAGTAACAGATTGGTAAACCTATGTCCATATCAAGATTCCTACTTCCAAAAGGATGAAATTGAGAAGCTGGTACAATAGCTTATGGTGACAGGATTTATTCAATTATCACAAAATCTTTAAGCAAGCCCTATCTTATTAGTGAAGAAAAAGATGGGAGATGGCGATTTTATGTAGACTATTGATAAGTCTTCATTATCATGAGTTAATAATTAGTAAATAATATAGTTTTAGCCTTAACTCATGATAAATAAACTTATATTTGTGTTAAAGTGTGAAAAGTGGTTTTCAGTTGATTAACGTGATTTTTTAAGTAATTATGTGATTTTATATGATTTTTACAGTTTTACTTTTGAGATAATTGAAGGAAAAGAAATTAAAATAAAAATAGCAAAATGGGAGTGGCTCGCCGGCCAGCTAAGCCCGCAAGCGGGTCGGAAGCGCAATCAGGCATAAGCCGCAAGTAGGGGCTTGAGTGGCTTGAACTAGTGGGGGCACGTGTGCGCCACCCCCCTTCTACGTCTCTAGTGGCCAGCCGGCGTGGGGCAAGGAGTGGTCATACACGCGCAAGAAAGGGACTTGATCGGAAATGTAATATTACTTTATATTCGCCAGAAACTTCAGCGCACAACCGATGTGGGACTAAACCTGTGTCACCTTCCCCAGAAAGGGCGGGCAATCGACGTGGGTTTGAATCCTCCTAGACTCAAAACTCATATTTTTTTTATCTGATTATCACGACTTTCTTGTAGATCGCCAGTGAAGGATTAAGCAACTAGAATTGCTAGATCATCAGCAAAAATCTTGTCAACGTGATTCGCGGAGCATTGTTACTAAAATTTTTGAACGATTCGCGATAAAAGAATCACAATTCCATCGAGTAAAGCATCTTCGATTGATCGACGAATAAGCCGTCGTCGAGAAGAGGACGATCCGCCGGGAGACAAGTCGCCACCTCCTAAGAGCGTACCAGATGCGATGAAGAGCCTCTTCTTGCTACGTGAACATGAGGATGAAGCTCCCTGACACGCACCCCACCTCCATCTAGCTCCTCTCTGTCGAGTGACAGCCGTCGGAGAGCCATAAAGTCACTGTTTTTTCGCTTCGCCGGGTGACAGTCACCAAAGACGATTCGACGACCCATTTCATTGATCTCTAGACTTCGCAAGGAGATCTAGAGATTGCCCACCTTGTCTTTGTCCAAATAGAGCCTTTGAGGCCATTGACACTGCACGACGATTGATAAATCTTCATTATCATGAGTTAATAATTAGTAAATAATATAGTTTTAGCTTTAACTCATGATAAATAGACTTATATTTGTGTTAAAGTGTGAAAAGTGGTTTTCAGTTGATTAATGTGAATTTTTAGGTAATTATGTGATTTTACATAAATTTATATGATTTTTACAGTCTTGCTTTTGAGATAAATGAAGAAAAAGAAATAAAAATAAGACAAAATGAGGGGGACCCGCTGGCCAGCCGGGCCCGCAAGCGGGTCGGAAGCTCAGTTGGGGAGTAGCCGCGAGTAGGGGCTTGAACGGCTTGGACTGATAGGGCACGTGTGCGCCACTCCCCTTCCACGTCACTGGTGGCCAGCCAGCTGTGGGGCAAGGAGTGGTCGTACACGCGAGAGAAGTAACTTTGCTTTTCTTAGAAAGCTAACATTACTATATATTTGCCCGAAAAATTGGCACACAACCGATGTGGGACTAAACCCACGTCACACCTTCCTCAGAAGGGGCGGACAACCAGCGCGAGTTCGAATCCTCCCAGAGTCAAAATTCATATATTTTTATCTGATTATCGCGACTTTCCTGCAGATCGTCAGTGAAGGATTAAGCAACGAGAATCGCTGGATCATCAGCAAAAATCTCATCAACGTGATTTGCAGAGCATTGCTACTAAAATTGCTGAATGATTCGCGATAAAAGGATCGCGAATCCATCGAGTAAATCATTTCCGATTGATCAACGAACAAGCCGTCGTCGAGAAGAGGATGATCCGCCGGGAGACGAGTCGCCACCTCCTGAGAGTGTACGAGATGTGATGAAGAGCCTCCTCTTGCTGTGCGGACCTGAGGATGAAGCTCCCTGACACGCGCCTCACCTCCATCTAGCTCCTTTCCGTCAGGTGACAGCCACCAGAGAGCCGCAAAGTCACCGTTTTTCCACTCCGCCGGGTGACAGCCGTCGGAGACGACTCGACGACCCATTTCATTAATCTCTAGACTTCGCGAGAAGATTTAGAGATTGCCCACGTCGTCCTTGTCCAAGGAGAGCCTTCGAAGCCGTGGACACTGCATGACGATCCTCCCGAACACTCAGAATTCTGGTGCATCGCCGATGCATCGTCGTCGTGACGCCGGAATTCTGTTTTCCTGCTTTCAACTTACTTTATGCTTCATTTAGTGATAGTTTTTGTGATTTTAATTTACCAAAATATACTTTGTTCTATTACGATTCTTTCGGCTTTTACAAGTTTTAATTTGATTAATTAAATCGTCTGTAATCGCTTACGTAAGAATTCCTAGGCGGAACTCTGTTTCCGCCCGATTTGCATTCGTCGGGTGCTGACGTCATCTTGACGTCCGCACCCTTATTTCCTTTTTTCATGAATTTTAAATATATTTCCTTTTCATTTCTTAAGATAAAATTCATAGAAAATAGTATTCTCTGAGGAAAATTCTAAATAATTACAAGATATTATATTATATCCCTATGATCGACCTGGAAAATTAACGCTATTTTTGGAAGTTTTATTAAATTATAATTGATATATTTGTTCAGAAATACTTCAAAATATCTGAAAATTCATATTTTTTAGTTTTTAAAATTTTATATTTGCGTGATTTAATATACAACGACTAAGTCACGTCAACAATCCTCCCGAATGCTCAAGATTCCGGTGCATCGTTGACGCATCGCCGTCGTGACACTGGAACTTTGTTTTCCTACTTTCAACTTAATTTTTGTTTCATTTAGTGATAATTTGTTGATTTTAAATTTACCAAGATATACTTCATTTCATTACGATTCTTCCGACTTTTACATATCTTATTTTGATTAATTAAATCATCTATAATCACTTACGTAAGAATTGTCGGGTGGAACTCTATTTCTGTTCAATTCGCATTTATCGGGCGCTGACGTCATCATGACGTCCGCACCCTTATTTCCTTTTTTCGTGAATTTTAAATATATTTCCTTTTTATTTCCTAGTATAAAATTCATAGAAAATAGTATTCTTTGAGGAAAATTCTGAATAATTATCATATATTATATTACATCCTTGTGGTTGACTTGGAAAATTACCGATATTTTTGAAAGTTTTATTGAATTATAATTGATATATTTGTTCAGAAATACTTCTAAATATCCAAAAATTCATATTTTCTAGTTTTATAAATTTTAAATTTGCGTGATTTATTATACAATGACTAAGTCACGTCAACTATCGTATCCTAAACAAGGTATAATCCTCAACAGATATCCTATATCTATTGTGGATGAGTTGATCGATGAGTTGCAAGGTACAAATATCTTCTCTAAGTTGGATTTAAAATTTAAATATTATCAAATTTGGATGAAGGCCTCAAACATCCAAAAGATTGCATTTAAAACCCACGATGGACATTATGAATTTATTGTCATGTCTTTTGATCTCTCCAATGCACCGGCTACCTTTCAATTACTTATGAATGAGTTATTCTAATCCTTTCTAAGAAAATTTGTACTCATATTTTTTGATGATCTCTATGTACAACCAAAATCTACAAGATCACGAAGAACATTTGACACAGATCTTTATTGTCCTATCCAAGAACAACCTTCATATCAATATTAATAAGTGAAAATTTGCCCAATCTTGCATTGAATATTTAGGCCACTAGATTTCTGTAGAAGGTGTGGCAACAGATAAAGGAAAGATCAAAGCCATGATCAATTGGCCACCCCCACAGAATATTAGAGAGTTGAGGAGATTTCTAGGCCTTCGGGGTTATTATTGAAATTTTGTGGCTAATTATGCCTCGATCACTTGGCCCCGTAACTCGATTACTCAAGAAGAATTTTTACACATGGCATCCGTCCTTTCAAGTTACATTCCTTCAGCTCAAAGAGGTAATGACTTCTACATCCATCTTTGTTTTACCAAATTTTTCATTAACTTTTACTCTTAAAATAGATGCATCAGGTCATGGAGTAGGTGGGGTACTGATGTAGACAAGAAGACTAGTGACCTTCCATAGTCAGGTTTTTCTATATAAACACCAACTCAAATCAACTTATGAAAGAGAACTTATCGCCATTGTCAAAGTAGTGCACAAATGGTAATATTATTTAATTCACAAACCTTTCATCATATGAACGGACCAATATAGTCTAAAATATCTTATTGTTGGGATTCAATTGTTGGGATTCAATTTTATTATCAAGTATAAAGAGGGACGACTTAATATGGTGGCTGATGCCTTGTCCCGAAGACCTCACTTTGGGGATTTGGGGATGACTTCATTATCTCAACCCCATCCACTAGATCTAGTTATCATCTAACAAGAATACTTGCAAGATACCACACTTTATCTTATTGTGAAATTATTGACCAAAAGATCATAAGTACTTCATTTCTCTCTACACCATGGCGTACTGCTATATAAAAATAAGTTGATACTACTATTTGATTCATCTTTAATATCAATACTGCTAAAAGAAGCCCATGATTCACTAATAGGAGAACACAGAGGGTTTTTACACACGTACAAGAGACTCACTCAAACCATCTTTTAGAAGGGCATAAAAAAGACTATTAAAGAACACGTGGAGAATTGTCAAGTATGTCAAAGGAACAAGATTTCATCCCTATCTCCTATAAGTCTATTACAACTATTGTCTATCCCTCACCAAGTATGAGAAGATCTTTCTATAGACTTCATAGAAGGCCTACCCAAATCTAATAAGTTTGACACGATATTGGTTGTGGTGGATCGTCTCAGTAAGTACATCCATTTCATTCTATTAAAACACTTATTTTCAGCACCACATGTGGCATTTGTGTTTGTAAAAGAAGTAGTCTATCTACATCGTGACAAAGTATTCAGTAGTAGTTTCTAGTGCGAACTTTGTAAATTTCAAGGGATTCAACTCCAAATGTCATCATCATATCACCCCCAGACTGATTGACAAACTGAGGTAGTAAATTGATCATTAGAATCATATCTAAGGTGTTCTATATGAGGTCGACCAAGGGACTAGTAGTTCTGGCTACATTGAACAGACTTATCTTATAACATTGCCTACCATTCTTCTATCAAGACTACTCCATATAAAGCAGTCTATGGTCATGATCTACCGGCTCTCATCAATTATGGGCCGTATCCCTCACCCATCTTTGTTGTGGACCAGCAACTATTAGAATGAGACCAAATTCTAAACTTGCTGAAGCAACACCTGCGAAACTTTTAGTCTCAAATAAAACTCAAGACAAATCGACACTAGTGACTGACAGAGTTTCATATCAATGATCAGGTATTCCTACACCTTTGCCCTTATAGAATGAAACCTCTAGCAAGAAAAGTGAATAAGAAACTCTCCCCGAAGTTCTTTGGCCCATATAAAATCATCTCTCATGTGAGACAAACATCATACAAATTGGATCTGCCATCGTCATCATCAATCCATCCAGTGCCCCATATCTCTCAACTACAATGAGCCTTAGCAGCAACAAATCTTCCCCATAAACTCCCACCTTCACTAAGCTCAGACATGGAATGACATGTCCAACCTCAATCAATTCTAGGGCTACAGATGACCCCTACAAGCCCAGAAGCACTAGTGAAATGGGATAAGTTACAAGATCACGAATCTTTATGGGAGTTGGCCTACAACCTTACACACTAGTTTCCAGAATTTCACATGGAGGACTTGGTGAATCTGAAGGGGGAGAGTAATGATACGATCCCACTAATAACCTACAAAAAGCGTAAGAAAGGAGCACATGTGCAGCATGTGAGTGGGACTATAAGTACAACATGAGAAGATGGGGTTTAGGGTGACAAAAGTTGGTATTCTGAAGAGGCAGGGGAACCCTCTCGAACATTGTTCTCCACTTTACTCTTCTTCTTCCTTTTCATCTCTATATTCAGGAAGGTCATCCTTCCCATCATTTGGTCTCTTGCTGTTGGCGAGCATTCGTGAATTTAATATGAAGTGTTCCATCCTTCCTATTTGCCCTGATTCAGTCCTACCCTTGAGGACTGTATCAATTTCTAACTAATGTTATAATTTTAACATTGACTGAAGGTGGAAAATAAATGAAGGATGCGACTTAAATTTCTCAATAAATTCAGCCTCCTAAGGTTTAGCCACTTTCAAATGATCAGCCTTAACTACTACATGATCTTGAGTTTCATTCTATTATTTTGCACATAAATTAGATGTGAATTTGAGTGATCTTTAGAGCTTGGTCAAACAACATCGATACATCTAATTGAGAAGACAAACTTGATCCATAAAAAATCTCCTTCAAGTTGAATTAAGTCGGCATTATCTCCAAGAGTTAAATAGCTTCTTAACATGAAGAGGGAGAATAAAAAAAAATGAAATTAATTTTCTTTATCATCAAATTCTTAGACGTGATTTAGGTCTTTCATAAGTACTAGAAAAATCCCAATGTGATATCTTCTTTATTTTATGTAGAATAAACTTTTTATTAAGCTTTAGCTTGACCAATTAAAGGATCTAGGCTTAGTAATTAACTTCGTCTCACCTAGAGCTGTGAATATAAGAAAGAATATATGAGTAAAATTATGAGTGTGTGGATCTTAGTAATCAACATTTGGTATTAAATATTAGTTTATTGGAATCCAAGAATATAATATTCTTAAAAAGTGGACAAAGTATGAGGCTGGACCATTATAAAAAGCTTCATGTCCTCAAAGATTTTGATTTAAAGATATAAAAAAATTTCATATCAGATTAATAGAACACATAAATTAAAATAATAAACCTAAAGTAAAATTTCAATCTTAACTATAACATTACTAGGTTTTAAAATATTAGTATAAGATGTTAGATTTTACATCATACTTCGAGAAAAAAAAGAAGGGTTGGATTGATCAGATTCTAATTTTGACATTGGTAAAAGTGATCCACAAACTCTCTCTATTTGTAAAGTCAGCAAGAATTGTGTTGCCAAGGCCCTAGATGTTGATGATAGAGATGACGTCAAGGTCCTCTTTGGGCTCTTCATCAATGATGACCAGCCAAATTCATATTTTCTGCACCATTCAGATAGTTCCACTTTGATTCTTATCTCTTAAAACCTTATTGGCAACAATTATCCTTTATGAAACAAAATAAGCTTCATTGGTGGATATATTCCAAAACTGACAAATAAAGATCTAATTTTATTATCTGAATGGAATAGAAACAACAATATAGTACATTAGAGTTCTAATGTACTCATTGTCATTTCAGAGGACACATTGTGAAGGAGTGTTACGAATTACACAACTATTCACCTGGTTATAAGCTAATGCTAAAAATATCATGAGATCAATGTTAAGCAAGTCTACAGAACCACTGACAACAACTACCAGTGTGAGATATTGGTGATGTTAAAAATCTTATTCAGAATCTAAATTCAACTCAAAATCATTTCATGTCTCTATTGTCAACACATTTGGATCACTCCACAAGAAGATATAAATTCATGAGTTACAATTCGTTACACCCAATTAGTTTTCTAACTCATGAGTTAGTTACATCACCTAATACCACATCTTAATTAATCTCTAAGGTGACATACCCAACTATATTCAATATTTATGTTCAAGGACGTGCTATTTGTCCATAAGTTCAAATTCAATTTATTATGAGTGAGTATATTAACAACAACTCATTATGTTCGACTCTATTTTTTTTCACGATTGTTTTATGATTCAAGACCTTTCTTGCAAGACAGTCTCTAGATTTTGATGTCGACAAGTCCTCCCAGCTTCTACTAGCATAATATCTCTGCCATAGACCTTGGGAGGCGCTCGTTGCGCACCTGTCGCCAGTCGCTATATTGGTTATAGGCTCACGTCGAAGTGCGCCCGAGCGGAGCCGTCCGTCCTGCTGCTGCCGCCGCCGCCGCCGCCGCCACCTCACCTGAAACAGGATATCATCGTCGTCTCCGGCCTTCCTCCACCGATTCTCCTGGATCACCTTCCACGGATGATCTTACCTTCAGTGAGGAGGTGGACTTCGGATCGATCTCCTGGTTCCCATTTCTCCCATCTCTGTTTTCTTCTACCACGCTTCATCCGATCTCCTTTCCATGGCAGGAACTGGTAACGGAGCAAGAACCTCGAGCTGGAGCCCCCCCATCGAATGATTTCTTGCTCTGCAGGCAATGGCTAATCCAATCATCAGCTTAACCCTGAAGAGAATGGACGAGGTGCTCTCCCAGAAAATCAACCTGCCAGCTGAAATCAAGCCGCCGTTCGAACCTCTGCGGGGAGAACTCAGGTTCATAAACGCATACCAGGCAGATGTTGAGAGATCTTGGCAGATTTTGGCGGAGGTAATGCTCCCGCAGCTGACAGAAGCGGCCTTTGAAGCTGAGGACATCATCGACAATTTCAATCTCATGCTCAACCAGAAGAAGAAACGCTCCCTGGTGAGCATCCTCACCGGTGTGGGCGAACGCTCTGCTCGTCATCAACTGGGTACCCGCATTCAAGATTCCAGGAAGAGATTCCGCGATGATCTACGACCAGATGAATCGTACCAGTAGGTGAGTCCGTTTCCTTCGCCTCTGCGGCGCCGCGAGGCACGTCTGAGCTGCAGAAGGCTGCTCTGTCCGGCGGGCTGAGCGTCGTCGGATTTGCAGAGGCCGAGCGATCCATGAGCGAGCAGCTGTTGAATGGGGAAATCAGTCCCGCGGTCATATCCGTGTTGGGAATGGGAGGAATGGGGAAGACCACCATCGCCAAGAAGAACTACAACACCTATGCAGTCAAGCGTCATTTTCAGCGCAGGGTTTGGGTCACTGTTTCTCAGAAATTCACGCCCACTGAACTTCTGCAGAGGATCCTAGACTGCGTCCTGGGGACGACGACGGAGAAGGAGATCAGGAGCTTGACAGACATGCAGCTGGGGGAGAGGCTCAGAGCCCTCCTGGAAAATGTGAGGTACCTTGTGGTTATGGACGATATCTGGGAGAAGGGGGCTTGGGGTCTCATAAAGTGCGACCTGTCGGCCTCCCCCGGGGACAGAGTGATCCTCACCACCCACATTGAGGACGTCGCCACGCATGCGCAGGGACAAGTCCACAGACTTCCCTTGCTGAGCGAGGAGAGCTGGGAGTTGTTCTGCGCGAAGGTGCTTCCCGCCGGCGAGCGGTGCCCCCCAGAGCTGGAGAAGATGGGGAAGGAGATGGTGAGAAGATGCCGCGGCATGCCCCGGGCGGTCCTCGTTCTCGGCGGCCTGGTGAGCGAGAGAGAGAGGACGAGGTACGAGTGGGAGGCCCTCCGCCGGCGTCTTACCCAGGAACTGAGTGCAGACACGAACGAGATGGTCAAGAACATACAAGGTTTGAGCTATGACGATCTGAGCGGTGACCTGAAGATATGCTTCCTGTACATGGGGCTCTTCCCCGCGGAAATGGAGATCGACGCCACCAAGCTGGTCCAACTGTGGGTTGCAGAGGGGTTCATCCAGCAGGCAAACGGGCTCACCTTGGAAGAAACTGCGGAGCGGCACCTCGAGGAGCTCGCGAACAGGTCCGTTATTCAGGTGGTGGACAGAGATTACATGGGCTGGGTCGACAGATTCAGGATCCACGATCTTCTCCTCCATCTCGCGAAGGATGAAGGACGGAGGAACCAATTCAACGACGTCCACGGGGGCTCACCTCCAGGCAGGCGTTGAGGTCGTGCAGGCTTGCCCTTCACGAGAATGCGAGCGTCTGGCTTTCAAGCTCGAGCTCCTTCGCTCCGAACCTGAGATCTCTGCTCTGCCTCAACCTGCGCGACCAGGAGCTCGGCGATTCATTGCTGAACCTACGCTCTCTGAAGCATCTCAGAGTGATCGACATCGGAGGCACGGCCATTCCGACGATCCCGAGGGAGATCGGGAGAATGGTGCATCTGACTTAGGCCTCAGGGGCACCAGCCTGGCCAGCCTCCCGTCCTCCATTGATAACCTCTGCAAGCTGCAGACGCTCGATATCAGTTGTGTTTTCGGGGTCACTCTCCCGCGAGGTCTCTGGAGGATTAAGACGCTGAGGCACCTGCACGCTTTTCGTGCCCAGCCGGAGGCCTCCTCCTGCGGAGCCCTAACGGAGTTGCACTATGTGATCATTCAGTACCAAAAATCCAGAGCTAATTATCAGGTTTTAGAACAACACTCCTAGTCATGTTATGATCGCTGGGGTTTTCGATGTAAAATTTGCTACCTTATAGAAAGTTCAAGGGCATATTTTTTTATGAAAACTTTTGACTCACATTCCAAAACACTACATATGTTCTTGTGTCCTTAAGTTCTAAAGTTTAGTGACATGTACGTCAAATTATATGCTTTCATTATTTTTAATTAATTATGATTACTTCAACTAACTTTAGAACTTGAACATCATCTTTTTTTTTTCCCCTTTAGCTCTTAATGTTTTGGAAGCTTGAATGTTTTGACTTGTTAAAGAAGTTCTTGCGTGTAAAATACCTTGAAGGGTGTGAGCATGAGTATGTCTTTTATGATTTCAGGTGCTATCAAGGACATGTTAATTGGGCCTTGGACTTGGGGGAAGACGGTGGGTAAGATACCTTTTTTCAACATTTTTTTTCACAGTGTCTATAGTTTCTTTTCTTCCTTTCACTCTCACATTCTAGTGAGCTGATGTGTTGTTAGTTATAAAGAAGGTACAAGGCCGCTTGTTACGTAGGGGGAATGTAGTTGGCCACCCGATTGTCACATTCAATGATAACGCACGCCTAAAAGTCAAAGTCTATAATTACTCAATGATATTGTAAAAATAAAAATACATTTTTTTTTTGAATTTAGATGTTCAATTTCTTTTGTCGTGTTCATATTTACATTATCTTTTCAATGAGTGATCACACACTTATGCCTTAGAACTTGAATTTTCATCTAAAATCATTTTACTCATGTCAAGCATAAAATGTTAATTATTTTACCATTTAGTGAATTTATTGTCAAATGCATTTATATCATAAAACTAGAGAAAAAAATAAAACCAATGAATTTTGATGTGCCATTTGTTTTATCGTGTTAGTCTTTCAATCATCTTTCCAAGAGTACCTACATAACTATATTTGTGGCACCTATTTTTTCAAATCAAAAAATTATCTTTCTAATGAGTACTTATGATTCAACTTCTAGTCGTTAAATTAGAAGATCTCGATTTTAATATTTTTAGCTGAACTCAGAATAGAAATTAAACTTATACATTCTAGTGGGTTCAGGTCGATCCTCAGGGATGGCTACCCATTCAAATGTCGAAATTATGCTCTCTAATATGTACTCTACTTATAACAATCGTGAAGGAAAATGCAAGAAGAGAGAGAGAGAGAGAGAGCGAGAGAGAGAGAGAGCTGGGTGGGCATGCGGTCTGCTGCAGTAGGTCAAGATCCTTTCCTATTCTAAATGCAGAACTTGAACTTGATGGGTTCAGATTCAGCTTCTTCAGCTTCTTCAATTACTAATCACAGTAAGAAGGAAGAGAACAACTCAATAATATCTATCCTTGATGATCCTACTCTTATGAAGTGAGATACCTCCGGCATCTTGCGTGGTTCTTGTTCTTCTTCATCATCTACCATTTCTTCGATTTGTAATCTGGGCGGAGCGCAAAGTCCCCGGCATCCTGAATAGCCTGAATTAATTCCTCATCTAATCGGTTGAGGGGCACTAGATGGAGGTATCCGTTCCCTCCATTGAGAGATAATGCTCAGAACCTAAACCTGATCCATTGAGAGAAAAGTCAACTAACAAGCGAAGGAAATGTTACTCACCAATAGCCAGCCAATAGATACATCAATAAGCAGCAACATATCATATGCAATCAACGGCTAAGATCACTCTGATCCAACAGATCTAATCCGATGGCATTGCCTATAAATAGATGTGCAATATGATTCCAATTTAGAATGTAATGTTTTATTTTCTGTTTCGATCTTGCCCTTCTCTCTTCCGCTTCTCTGCTCTTCTTGCCTCTTCTTGATTCTCTACAGTTAATGTTCCGGCATGGATCTGCTCTGCTCGATGATGTATATGCATACACCAGATCAATGATCCTGGGGACCTGTGACGCCTTCTAGAATACGGGTTCTGATTTTTTCCATCACCAAGAAGCTTAGAGTAGACATCATCCCATTTAGGTTCCATCTTGGCATCCACTGGAGTAGATCTTTGGCGGGCTTTCTCTCTCTCTAATTTCTCTCTCTATGGTGGGGGCGAACACAAGGATAAACTGTTCATCCCATCTGATTTTCATGGCAGGAACCGGTAACCGAGCTGGAGGCCCTGTTCAGGTCACTCGCCTCAACCCCTCACTCACGTGGGAAGATATCTCAACCGACATGAGATCTCTGAAGGCAGAAAGGGCGACGTTGACTGAAATCTCAACACAAATGGCCCCTTGGGCCTGGCCTGGAGAAGGGCAACGCTGAAGGCAGCCCGTCCCGTTAAGGCTGGAAAGAGGCGACGAAGCACAGAAGCTGTCAGGCAGCAAAGGCGCAGGATGAAGACCTTGCCAACCAGGGAAGGAGGAATAATACCCATCACCGAACCGGCTGCCCCAGAAGGAGAAGGTATCTCGTGGCTCCATTGAGTTATCCCTTCCGGCGTCTTGTCTGTTCTCTCTTCTTTAACCCCTGTCTCTCCATTGCCACCTTGTGTGTTCCTCTTTTACCAGATTTTACGTCTAACGTCCTTTTGTCCCATCTCTCACTCTCACTCACTTCGATCTGGAGCTCCATCAGTTTCCAGGCAATGGCTAATTCAATCATCAGTTTGGTACTGAAGAAACTGGACGTGCTGCTCTCATAGGAAATCAACCTGCTAGCCCAAGTCAAGCCCCAATTTAGATCACTGCAGAGCTAGCTAGGGTTCATAAGCGCATACCTCGCAGATTTTGACTGCAATAGAAGTCCATTTCCATCTAGAAAATTTGTAAAGTTTGACCACCCATTTGGTTTCCAAGACTGTTTGAAGGGTTGTTTCAACGGATTGATTGATTGGTATACTTCATTAAAATAGGTATACTCCATCAATCTATCAACAACTAGTAAGATTTATTGGTAGCTATTATTAGAGCAAAGGTGTGTTTCTTCATGAAGTTCATAAGAGTATTTTTTCAAATTTGATTGGGAATGGGGAGAGGTTGGAGTTAGGCAATAAGTGACACAAGATTTTAATGCTTATTTCTTCTCTTATAACTAAAAGTTTTAGGCGATTTGTTTATACATCCTCAAAAAAATAAAAAGACCCCTTACAGCATTGTCATTGTATTCTTTGAGTGTAGTAGAGATCATAACAATTTTTTTGATAGATACTATTCAGCTTTAATAAAACAAGACTCCTCAATCTAACTTGTATTACAGTTGCTCATTAAGCCTTATGTCAATACCTCTCGAATTTTAGAAAGTACGAGGTCAATGATTATTTTTTATGGCAATAGATGATTAATATGGATCTTGGGAGTAACTATTACTATGGTCTTCATTAATGCAAGGTTGGGCGCCCTTGAGAGGGCCTTGTACTCGATGGTAAGTCAAAATAGAGGATTTTGGCGACTCACTTTTAATGCTGTAGATGCACCTAATGTTGTTAAAAATAATATTACAAAATAATTTGATTAGTATGAGTTAAAAATTAGTGCCCTATCAAGTAGTGTTTTCACTTGAGAATTGTCAAGACTGACTACTAATTCTTGTTCATATATTAACTTCAGGCATTTTCTTATTAACATGATCTAGCTAAAGCCACTAGTATGCAATGTTGCATGAGTACGATTCCCACTCCAAAGTCAAAGGCGTTGGTTTTTAATTCAATTTTTAGAAAAATCAAGCAATACAAATATCAGTATGGTATATGATCTTTTTCAATTTTTGAAAGGTTACATCACTTGATTTGATGTCATCTTTCTTGAGTTGTTGTATAAGAGGTCAAATAATAATTATATAATAGGACACAATGTGTATGTAGTAGCTTGTCAAACCAAAGAAACCACATAAATTTTACTGTCAATGGGAGAAGGTCAGATGAGGATCACCTAATTTAGCTATCATCCACTTCAACTTGTGATATTGATATCCAATTTCTTAGATAATGAATGTAATACTTCCAAAGATATATTTTTTGGCATTCAAATGGAGCTTATTTTTTTAGAATTATTGTAATACTTGATTCAAATATTTCTTGTACATCTCTACATCTTGATTATACACCAATATATCATCAAAGATCATTAATAAGAAGGATCATTTTTAAGTCCAAAGTAAATTGCTAAAAATCGTGATGACCTTCATGTGTTTAAAGGTTATTTTGTATAGATCTTTTGATTTCATGTGAATTTAATGATATCCCAACTTCAAACAAAGTTGGGAGAAAATCATTGAACGATGCAACTAATCAAGAAAACTTTCTACTATGAGAATTAAAAATCTATCTAAGGAACTATGATTTTATTGATGCCATATAGTCCAGATAGAACCTTTAATTCCCATCCTTCTTTTTGTTGAGAGGATTAGACCAGAGTATGCACTTGTTGAGGGCTGAATGATTGATGTCTTACATGTTTCTTTCAACAATATTTCAGTTTCATTTTGTGTAAGAATGTGGATATTGGTAGGGGCATATTATCGCTAATGTTGTACCTCATTTTAAGGTGATGTGATAATCAATCTCTTGATAGGTGGATGTCTAATACATTAGGGGATGGTCATGAGAGAAGCCTTGGTGAGTCACTACTTTGTGGTTGATTTGTGATTGGGTAAGCTTTTTGCATCTTCCTTTTGTTTGTGGCATAATACATCAAATGTTTCTTTGCTTTCCCAAAGATCACAATGATTTCAATGATATACTTGATTAACATAATTGTGGGCTGCCTTTGATGGTCACTATTGTGGTCCTACATAAAATTTCATGGTAAACTATTTTCAGTTCAACATTCTATCTAAGGTCTTAAGTCATTGTATTCTCAAGATAATGTCAATGTTACCTAGTTGTAAATATAAGTATCTTCGCATTTCTAACATCGTTCTTTGAAAGATTCTACAGATTTTGATATTGTGCCATTTTTCATGACTACTTTGTAATAGTGGTAGTTTTAAGATATCTACTTATTGCTTTGATATAAATTGTGAGCAGCATCACAATTAATCAATATGTCGAATTTCTTGTCTTGTATCTTTTCCATTAATTTTATTATTCATGTCACAATTAATCTAATAACAAGATTGAGAGAAATTTTGATGTTGGGTTCATTATCCTCACCTTGCATTTCTAGGGAGCATTTAGAGTGTGCGTCACCTCCTCTATTATCTCTTCCTTGTCTTTATAGGCTAGAAATATCTGCAACTCCATTTTATAGACATGTCTAGGGTGGCACTTGACATCACAAGAAGAGCACGCCTTTTGATCTCTTCTCTTCTAATTCCAATTCTATTTGAGTTAAACTTTTTCTAGTGTTGGGTGAGTACTGAATGATTTTTGTCCTTTTCCACATAAAAATCTTGATGCCTTAATTGATCACCTTATTCAAAGGGGATTCATGACTTTTAGGCTCACCTCTTGTGTCGAATAGTTTAACTTCTGCATGAATCTTCAATTTCAACTCCTTTATGAAAGTTCTCACTATAACTTCCTTAAAAAGGCCTTGCATTGGACCGAAGTCCTAATTCCCATTTGTACTTGGCAACAGTCACATGAGGTCTTATAATTAAGAGTTGATCCCAAAATGTCCCAACTAATTGTGAACCAAAACATTTTTTAGCTTTGAATCCTCAACTCTCTTACATCTTCCCATTAGAACACCACTAAGTCCTTGTTGTCAAATATGATTTAGAGGATAATCCCTTGCAGCTTAAAATAAAGCTCAATGCAGAATATCCATCCATCTAGATTCCCTAGAATAAAGAGGAGCATCACTAACTAATGTCCATCCCAATAACGGGTGATTTGTTTTTTTGTTAGTACCTATGTCTTGGTCTATTGAGGCTTGATCACACTTAGTCATTGTTGTCATATGGTTGTCATTATATTTGTCACCTAACCTTATGATGGCCCATTTGATTCTCCAATTGCAATGTCTCCTTTCCATATAAGTCAGCTGGTTGTTGTCTCATTAATATATTAGTTATGCCACTGTGTCTTAACTCTTCAATGGGGTTCTCTAGTGATCCAATGTTTTATAACATCACCTCCATCATTAAGATCTAATGAAACCTCTCATTCATTTTCTTGACATCCTTCTCTAGATTCTTGTACCTCTTGTCACTATTTTTTAGCTCTATGACTCTAATACCAAAATGATATCAACTTGATCCAAGATGACGAGGGAGAATGATAAACTAGACATCTAATGAATTATAATAAAAGGTGAAATGAGAGTAGAACATAAGAAAAAGGTTGATGTGTGAGTACTTTCAAGAGCACCATTAACCATCATGAGTAACCCCTTGCCTCCCCAAATAATATATATACTATTAAGAGTTCTTATACCTTGTGACTATCTTATGTCAATTTACTATTTAACCCTCTTAGGGCTTGCCCCTCCTTTTATGTAAGTTATCTATGTATTAGGCTTAACAATGAACTGAATATATTGACCTAATCTAATCAACTTGTCTTGGTTCCATATAGGATAAAGATAAATGTCGTAAAATTATATAAAAAAAGAGAATATTAAAAAAAAACCATTGCTTATCTCATATATAAGTCTTCTCTATATGTTTCTCTCTCTCTCTCTCTCTCTCTCTCTCTCTCTCTCTATTGTGTTGTTCCTTACTAATAGGCATGAATTGAAGGCCCACTGAAGTCTAGACATCTTGGAAGTTTAACTTTAAGTCCATGTTTAAAGTTTTACTAGAGGTTTGGGCCTCCTAAAGGCACATGGGTCGGAATGGTTTCAAAAACTTGATCAAGGCCATTGACCAACAATATTTGATGGTCTAGATGCAAGGTTCAACACAATAGTAAGGGAAAGAAAGAAAGTAGCAACAAAAGTCAATGCATCATACTGGAGCTCTCAAAATGCTCATGTGCTCTATTATCGTTTGAGTTGGAATCTTCAAAGTTTCAACAATGTTGTATAATAAATTTAGTATGCCCTTATTCCTTCTTCACTAGGTTGCATATACTCAGCATTGAAAAATGTTTATTGTTGTAAGAAGGCATCGTTGACTTTTTTTGAAAGTAAACTTGTCATCGGATCAGAATCAACTCTCTAAAATTGCAAGTGAAAATTCTGGGCCTCTCCCACTGACACTGAAGTTTTTTGGGCCCAAGATCGTAACATGGGCCGAGTTGGGTGCCATTCGATGATACAGGGCCCACACGGTATCTGGATTCTGGTTGGGCTGAGCTAGACAGAATGACCCCGTGGGCCGAAATGTTTAGGTGGGCCCGGAAGTATGAAAGCTAAGCCCGGCCCCCCATGCGGCGAGGTGGGCCCATGCTCTGGGGCCCAACTAGATGCTGCCCATTTTCTCTCTTCACTCACGAACATCAAGCCCGGAAACGTCGTGGGCCGGGCCCGGACCAGTGGGCGAGGCCCAATGAGGAAGTAATGAGCCCATCCGGTCGTCGAAGCCAGAAGCAGAAGGATAAAAGAGGAATTATAACGAATTACCGAGTTATCCGTAAAGAGGAAATGAAAGGCGGCTGAGGTGGAGATCCCGCCGCCGCCGCCGCCGCCGCCGCCGCCGCCGCCGCTCCCAAGTTTTGAATTAGGGGGGTCGTCTTCGTCCTCCTCTTCCTCCACGCTGCCGCCTTCATGGCCGCCCTCTTCTCTGGCCCTCACCCTGGTAAAAGCTGAAAGAAAGCTGTAAAAAAGGAATCCCATTTCTCTCTCTCTCTCTCTGAACCGCAGTGAAAAGGTTAGACATGACTACCTTAATGATATTGACAGTAGAGAGAGAGAGAGAGTGAACACTCGCACTTGTCTCAAGGCATGGACCACTGGTGCAGTCACGAACAGAGGACGATTATTGTAGAGAGAGAGAGAGAGAGAGAGAGAGGGATGGGGGTAATATGTGGTCTTGAAGGTGGAGCTAGAAAGCGGGAGATCAACGAAGAAGAGCGCGATTGTAGTAATACATCTGGACGAAGGATTTCACTAGACTGTGCAGATCCACAAGAGGCCGCCAGGAGAAGAGGAAATCCACAGACCTGCGTAAAGACACGGAGTAGGAGAAGCTTCATCTGCCGGGAGGCAGGTGCCCGAGGGATCGGAAGTACTCGGGCAGAGAAATACTAAGGTTCCCTCCATCGCAGCCTTTTTTCTTCTCTATAACCGGCGCTGCTGTGCTCCCACCTGTGGTCCTCGTCCCGGCAAGCCAGATTGCAGGGCGATGCCGGGGTGGACGGCACATGCTTGGCAGGCAATGACAAACGATACGGATTAGCAGATTCCGCAGTCCCCCATGGAGGAAGAGGGGGGGGGGGGCTACTAGGGGGGACAGTGGGGGTGGGAGCGCTTGTTTAATCCGCCTCCGATCTCAGTTTTTGCGCATCCAGATGGGGAACGAATCATCTCCCGCCTTCCTTGAGCGAGGCGAGGTATGATGTCGGGATTCACCTTTTCTTCTTCTTCTTCTGAAGAACCCATGAGAATCGTATTAGTTTGTCCCACGCGGCCATGGCAGGGGCCTAAAAGTCTGAAGTCTGGAGACAACAACTCCATGGAAGGCGCTACTTGAGGTAAATCCCATGGGTTAGTAGTAGCAGGAATAGTTTCTCTGTGTGTGGAGTTGCGGAGCTTAACCCCACAAGGAGGAAGGTCACGCGGGACACTGGGAAGGTCCTCATCCTCCCTCGTCGTCGCGACGCCCGGACCAGACAAAACAGGCGAGGAGGGGGGATTGCACGAGTACACGAGGGCCCATGCGCGGAGGAGGAGATCGTCGCGTCTACAGCTGGATCCATGAGCATTGATAAATGAATCTCCCCAAGTTGGCATTCAATTCCCAGGCAAGAACCTACGCCATGGAGATGGCATTATATGTACATTTATTGCCAGAAGAAAGCAGGACCTACGTGTGATGAGTTGGGGTGGGGGGGGGGGAGGAGGGGGGACGTCTCAGTCACGCACAGTGGCCATTTCTCGCAGGGTCGCCATCAACCCTCTGTCTCTCTCCTCCTTTTGTAGCTATCCGCAGATTCCCGCTTGTTCCGACGCCATTTTTTATGCAGGGTCCCTTCAGGCTCGTCATCTCTAGGCCCTTCTCTCCCTCTGGTGGGTGGTTTCTCGCTTCTTGAGGTTCCCGCAGGCAGCCAGGGGGAGATGCAGAGGAGCGCGCGATGAAGGAGAAGCAGCAGTGGAGAAGCTATGCTAAGCAAGCGTCGGTTGAGTCGATGACCAACCCTTCAATCCGACGACTCCTCTCTGAGAGTTCTCCAACAACCGGAGAATAGATGGCGGGTTTTTGAAGAAACAGAGGGCCGACAACGGTGGTACATAGCCGCCTTCTTCCAGTAATAGCCCTCTCCTCATCTCCAGAAGGCCGCTATAGCCATGATAGCGGTGCTCCAATCGCCGCCGAGCTCCTTGTCCTGCATCCCTGGCGACGGCTCCGGGCAGAGTGAGACCGCCTTAAGCTCAGACCCACCAACTGCGGGGGATGGCCAAGGAAGGGAGGAGGCGGACTGGGCCACGAGGAGGAAGGGCTCCCAGAGGGTAGCTGGAGGAAGAAGGGGGAGGAAGAGGGAGGAAGAGGACCACCTCTCGCTGTCGTCGCTGTTGGTGGCGGTGGTGAGGAAGTCTTTGGTCGGTTGCAGGACAGAGACCGACGAGGATCTGCGTTCCATGGAGATCGGGTGGCCGACCAATGTGCAGCACGTCGCCCATGTCACCTTCGATCGTTTTCATGGGTTTCTCGGGCTGCCGGTGGAATTCGAGCCGGAGGTCCCTCGGAGGGCTCCAAGCGCCAGGTATCATCCCCTTCTAAGACCCCCCAAATCCTGAAGCACACTTTTTCTTTCTCACGTTCAACCATTTCATCCTCAACATCAGCAGCTATCCCTCCCCCGGCTGTTGGTGTTCTTGCTGTCAGACTGGTTTCAGAGAATTAGGTCTACAGTTCGTCTTCCCCCTGGTAGATTTGTACTTGCTTTTGGGATCATATGGGCTGTGAGTTAGTTTCTATCTCCATAGCATCCTTCCCCCTCCCCACCTGATTTTTTCCCCCTCAAGACAGCAACCTGGAAGAAACTGCTGGACGATACGTCAACCCTAAGGGACGGACATCCACTGGAGGAGGACTCAAGCGCTCCTCTCAACCCTTACGGTTCTGATAGAAATTGCTTGGTCTTGATCATTGCAAGCAAGTATCCTATCTCCTGCAGATTATTTTGAAAGTATCAGAGGAATGCGATGATGTTCTTACACTGCTGATTATTGTGGTCATCTTTGTGGATCTAACATGATCCATGTATGTTTGAGCAGTACATTTGGCAAATAACGTGATGATAGGCTTTTGCCCATCCAGTGACAGAGTTGTCTTGCTTGCTCTCTTCCTGTCTAGTGTACACTGCCTAGTTGGATTCATATGCGATTTATCATCCATCAATAATCTAGTGTCAGCTTAGGAAGGAAGCTTATTCACATGCATCACTGAAGTGAGCCCACAAACGTTCAAAGCATAAAGTGAGGATTTTTTTTCTCAGAATATGGACCAAGGTTTGTAAAAAAAAATATTCTTCTGTTTAGACCAAGTAGACGGTATACCCATGGGAAAGCAATCTACAACGGATATATATTCCTCCTAAGGAATCATGAAAAAAATCGTTTTTTTTTCTTTGTTGCTGCCTCAGAATATCGACAAAGTGTACTTGGCAGCTGACATGGTTTGTATTTTTTTTTTTGTTTTTTTATTTATACTATTTTGAGGAACAGATTTGAATTGCTCACAAGGAACCAGAGATTAAAAAAATTGTGTTTTTTTTTTTTGGTTGCCTCAGCTTATCACTTCTTCTGATGATTTATCGGAGATCACACTGTATTTATAGTGCAAACCGGAAGTATTACTGAAACTGGTCATGTTTTGATGGAGCTGTAACTCGGTTTCCAATGCAGTGCGAGCGTCTTTGGGGTGTCTACCAAGTCCATGCAATGCTCTTACGACCCCAGGGGGAACAGTGTACCCACCATACTACTGCTCATGCAGAGGCGGCTGTATGAGCAAGGCGGCCTTCAGGTCTTCTCCTCAGATCTCGGGACATGTTCTCTGCGTGCCTTTCTTGCACCATGGTTGACATCATTTGCCCCTGTTGATGAAAAACATTCAGGCTGAAGGGATATTCAGAATCAACGCGGAGAACAGCCAGGAGGAACATGTCCGAGACCAACTGAACAGTGGGATTGTCCCTGATGGTATTGACGTCCACTGTCTGGCTGGTCTGATCAAGGTACCTTCTCATCAATGCTGCTACTTTACTTTCCATGTGAGATTAAGGGTGGAATCTAATGCTCAAATATATACATATATAATGTACATATCTAATATATGATTCTTAATTTTCTGATAATAACTATCATTGAGGTTCTTGGGTGATCCCATTAATGGTGTAAGTATATCTATTAGATATGTATACATTATATACATATATAATGTACACATAACCAGTCGGATTATCCTTCGGAGCAATCAGTGTCATCGATGAAGCCCCCTCTGATTCTTAATTTTCTGATAATAACTATTATTGAGGTTCTTGGGCGATCCCATATTAATGGTGTAAATATTTTTCGTGTCTTTCTTTTTCGTCTATTATGTTCTGCTGAAATGCATCCTACATGCCTCATTGGTATGATTCTCACTTGAAGAGTAACCTGTTTGCCCTGTTCTCAAGGCGTGGTTCAGGGAGCTGCCGACCGGCGTGCTGGACTCTCTGGCGCCGGAGCAGGTGATGCAGTGTCAGACGGAAGAGGAATGCGCCCACCTTGTGAAGCTCCTGCCCCCCACGGAGGCCGCGCTCTTCGACTGGGCCCTCAACCTCATGGCCGACGTCGTCCTCGCTGAACCTCACAACAAGATGAACGCCCGCAATGTCGCCATGGTCTTCGCTCCCAACATGACCCAGGTACCCCCCCAAAACCTCTGCACCCCAAAAATGGAAATTTTGACCAATTTTCTTGAATAATCTCCAGCATTGATGTTTTTTCGTGAGCTGAATCTCGGGTTTTCGATCCATTTTCATGAAAATCGTGTTCTTCTTGTGTGGGCGATCTCAGATGGCGGATCCTCTGAGCGCGCTCATGTATGCCGTGCAAGTGATGAACTTCCTCAAGACCCTGATCTTGAGGACCCTCAAGGAGCGGCGGCAGGAGCCCCTCCTGGGCCCACTACCGTCTTCTTCTTCTTCACGGCCGGATCCCCCCGACGAGGACGGCCCCCTCCTCGACGCTGGTTCTCCCGACGAGGAGGCTGCCCCCTCGCCTGCCTTCGTCTCCGTCGAGCCCAATTCAGATGGCCCCGCTGGCGCCGAGAAGCCCGTCTCCAAGTTTTCGGGGCAATTCAGCGGTGGGCGGCCGTGTGAGCCGCCGACGAGCTCCGGCAGCTCCTCCAGCGGCTGTGCAGGCGGCGGGTCCGCTTCCCGTCGGACCAGGGTGGCGGCGCAGACCGGCAAGCACCCCAGGAAAGAGACAAAGAAGAGCGGCGCTGCCGCCGGGGAGAAGTCCAGGGGGATCAGCCTGGTTAGCCGGATAAACTCTAGGATGGAGCGGGTGGAGACGTGGCGTTGACTTCCCCGCCGGCGGCGGCGGGTCAGCTCACTGATCTTCGCCTTCATCAGTAAATATGGTTGACTGTGGCTTTCTTTCACCTGTCTTCTTACCAGGGACGAACTCTGTTGTCCTACTGCGTCTCATCTTCTTCACTATTTACGCGGGCTGATTTCTAATTCGAGGTACTTTCCGGGTTTAAAACTGATGTTGGATGTATCTTAGGAAGGGTCCACGGGAAGGATCTCGATCAGGATCCTCGTCCGTTGATTTGTCCATTTCCTCCCCACCCCCCAACCTGACCGTTCGATTCAGCTCCAATGCGTTTCTTCTTCCTTAGTATTTACTCGGGCTGATTGCTAATCCTGGTACTTTCAGGGGTTGAAACTGCCGCCCGATGTATTTTAAGGGACCCCGGAAAGAATCTCGATCACGAACCTCCTCGTCCGTTGGATCAGTCCGTTCGATTAGGGACACCAGGCTCGTTCGCGACCCAAAGGGCTTGGAACCGGTCGTCGGCATTGTCAAACCCGACCTGCCACCTGTATATACTCAACGGCCACCAACACGCCCCATCAGCAAGCCCCCGCCATGCCGTGCCGGCTAGTCACCCTGCGGGCCCTCTCTCTCTTCTCTCTCTCTCTCTCGCTAATAGCCCTCCATTTACCTCATGAGAGAGAGAGAAGAGAGAGGTGAGAAAGAGAGAGAGAGAGAGAGAGAGAGAGAGAGAGAGGGGGGTTGAAACCAGTTAATGCGAGGGGGGGAAGCTGTGGTTGAGGTGGTTGCCCTGGCATGGAAATCCCCGCGTCCATCCACCGCCCATCGCCACCATCGCCTCGTCTTCCTCTCCGTCGTCGTCTCCATCACCTTCTCCATCGTCTTTCCCCCGCTGCGCGTTAAATCCGGCGCCCTTCTTGATCCGTCCCCCCGCCGGTCCCTCTTTCTCCTCCTTCTGTAGGAGACGAGAAGAGAAGAGAAGAGAAGAGAAGAGAAGAGAAGAGAAGAGCTTCTCCTCTTCTTCTTCTTCTTCTTCTTCTTCTTCTTCTTCTTCTTCTTCTTCTTCTTCTTCTTCTTCTTCTTCTTCTTCTTCTTCTTCTTCTTCTTCTTCTGCAGGGAAGGAGGAAGGAGGGAGGGAAGGATGACGGCGCTCGGGAGCCTCGGGGGGCTGTTCGAGAAGCCGACGCTGGTGGCGCCGCTTCCCTGGGGGGAGATCAAGGCGGAGGGGGCTGGATTCAGTGAGATCTTCGGGGAGCTGCATTTCGAGGAGAGGGGACCGGCGGAGGACCAGGAGACTCCGCCGTCGACGGCAGCTCAGGGCGCCGCCGGAGGAGGCTTCCCGTCGCCGCCTGGGATGCCAGCGGGGGCCAGCGGCGGGGGGAGCTACTCCTCCAGGGGGCATACCGAGTCCCTGCAATTCTGCACCGAGGGGCTAGGGTTTGAGAGCTCCGACGACGTGGAGGACCTCTCCGGCTGGGAATGGGGAGCCGGAAGGGGCAAGGAGGCGGCGGCGCACCGGCGGTCGGCGTCGGAAGGTTGCTCGAGGTACTGCTCACGCCGCCGTGGGAGGACGAAGCCGGACTTCCCGCCGCCCATCTCCTGCTTCGGTAGCGGCGGCGGGAAGCCCTGCGTCCGCTTCAGGTCCTTCCGCCAGGACGGGAGGTTCGTCCTCACGGAGGTCCCCCTTCCCTGCCAGGAGTTCTTGCGGGCTTTCCGCAAGGACGGCCGGTTGATGCTCCACTTCGTCCAGCCAGCCGCAGCAGACCTCAATGAAGTTGCAGAGGACCCAGGCGACGGCGACGTTTACGGCGACGGCGAGGAAGGAGGAAAGGAACCAGAGGAAGACGATGGAGCCCCAGACAAGACCGAATGAGCTCCTACCAGATCTCTCTGTCCTTCGCTCTGAGATTTTTTCTCTTCTGTTCACGCTTCCTTTTCTCTGAATACGTATGAGAAACAAAAAACCAAGAACACGAGAGGATCCGAAGAACAGGGATTAGAGAGCGAGTCAATCAATCTCTGTCGACTGTTCCGATTGTCAACGTGCTCTCCTCATCTCCGCCCGTGATCCTCATTCACATGAATTCCGCCCTCAAGATTCCGAACCCAGCTGACAAATCACATCCGGTTTGGTGATCACGAGTGCCCGGAAGTATCTGCTGGCCACCCTTTTTCTCCGGCGCCGGCGTGGTCGCCGGAGACATCTGGCGGCCGCTGAAGGGAACCGTCAGGTCTCTCGAGCATTAACTCCTCCATGGGAAAACGTCCAATTTTGATATTTTAAGATTTTTTGGGCATACAAGGAAAATGCAAATATATCTGCCCCTATTTGCAAATATTTGTGCAGAAAAGTATCAAGTCTTAAGAACTGAGCTTCAAACGGCCACGTCTTGATATTTTCAAAGTTTAACGGGTTAAAATGAAAATACGACGGTAATCTTGTCCGTCAATATCATTTTCACCCCGAAAGCGAGGAGTTTCTCGCGCCTTCCACTCCTGAGATTTGTACGCATATTCTGAAGTTATGGGGTCCTCAGTGGTAATTTCGTCTGAAATTTCCGTTGAGAGTTGGAAGGCACGGGACAGCGAAACTTCTACTTTCCTGCCCAACAATGCTCCGGCTGGTCGCCGTATCTCCGGCGGCGTCCCTCCCTCTCTTCCCCACCGATCATCCTCGCCGCCGCTTTCCTGCGATCCCAAGCTCGCCGTGCCTCGCCCTTCCTCCTCTTCCCCTCGTCCGTGCTCTAGACGGTGGCTCCTCCCCCTGTAGACCTTCGGCTTTCGCCGCCCTCTCCTCGCGCAGGGGATCTGTGAATTGTGAGCTGCTTCCTTCGTCGCCGCTTCAGCTTATCGCGCCCTACGTGGAGGCCGAGTGGGAGCTCATACTCAAAGGATGGCTCTGCAGCGCCGTCTCCGTCTACTGCCTTGCCAGGTTCGTCCCCAAGATGGGGCAGCTATCTTCCGTTATGGGCCGGTACGGCCCCGAGCGGCTGTTGGTGGAGGTCATGAAGCTGGCGAGCTTGGGTGTGATCCGCTCTGTTGCGTGCTACCTCCAGCAGGCGTACCTCTGGGAGGCAGCCTTGAGGGCGGTGTGCAAGATCAGGGTGGACGTGTTCGGCAAGTTGGTGCACAGAGACCTCGGCTTCTTCGAAGGGAGGGGAGGGATTCCCACTGGGGAAGTGGCGCACCGGATCACAGCCGAAGCCAAGGACGTCGCGGATACTGTCTTTGCCCTTTTGAACGTTAGAACTTGCTCCTGAATAATACGGTTTGCGGAAGATATTCATCCGTCAATCCCATTTCTTCTAATCATATTGGCTACCGAGTCTGCAGAGACTTGCATATCGGAGATCATCTGTAAAAAATGATCTTCTTATTCTTGTCACCTGTTGTGCTTCCAGATAGAATCGTTTGGACCTGCTTCTCTAATCGAGATCTTGTTTTTTATGCAGACAAGTTTGCCAAATGCTCTGCAGCTTATGGCGATGGCAACTCAGATGGTCGTCATCAGTCCAGTTCTTTCATTTATATCGGCCTTGGTAAATGGAGACATCGATAATTGGTCCTTCTAATAGATGCTTTATATCATACCGTCGTGTTCCAATAACAAATTGAACATTGAAACTAGGTCATACCATTAATGTCTCTTGTCGTTGCTCATCTTGGCGAAAGGCTCCGGAAGATATCTCAGGAGGCGCAGTCTAGTGCTGCGAGGCTCTCTGCCTACCTAAACGAGGTTTTCCATGGTTTCATTTTGCCTACCCCCCAAATCATGTTCCACATTTGACTGAACGAATAAATTTCATTCACCCTCCAGGTTCTTCAGTCGATGCTTGTTGTCAAAGCTAATAATGCAGAGTTGAGTGAAACCTCACGGTTTCAGAAGTTTGCTTATGATGATCTAACGAAGCTTTTGAAGAAGAGGCGAGCCAAGGTTTTTGTTCCAGAGATTGTGAAGGTTATCCACATTGGAGGAACGCTGCTTCTCTGTGCTGCAGCTGTGCTGGCTTCAAGGGGGCTTTTTGATTCTTCTTACATGGTGTCGTTCATAATATCAGTGGCTCTGTTAGTCGACCCTATTGAGGTACATCAATTTAAGTCGAGCATGCAGTTCATTCGGTGACTCATCTGGCATGATAAACCATCTTAGTGATGGAAAGTTGTCTCAGAATGTTGCAATTGACATTTCATCGCAGTCTAAAGACCTATGCTGGAATATTTCCGACCACAATGGATTTGACTTAAGATTTGCATACTGTTGATGAAGACATGGCTACCTGCAACTCCCAGTTTATCTAGAGAATTCACGCAATATACATCATGCATTCGAAATATTTCTACTTCACAGCATCCTATCTTTTTATAATTGTTAAACTCTTCATCAGTTGGTAGCCCTCACTGCGTCCCAATTTCTGCAGCCATTTAAATTTGACAAAGTTGTAATCATTTACAGGGTATGGGAAAGGCATTCAACGAGTTGAAACAAGGAGAGCCAGCCATAGAACGGCTATTTAATTTGACAAATTTCAGGCCTCAGGTACCATCCTAAACAAAATCTTGTTTAATATTTTTGAAGATCGGCCATAAATTTGAACTTTTGAGTACCAAATTGACAGCATTTTTCGTCGTCAAGGTGATGATTAATCTACCATGTTGGGTTCGCCTGTTCAGATTGTGATATGTGCATTATAACTTCATTGTCTATGAATAATGATACATGGCCATATCATCCATATCAGGAACGAAAATAGTGTATCTCAAGCTTGATCCTTTTCATCATTCGTCCTTATTTTTTCCTTTGTTTTTTAAGCTTGTCGATTGAACGCTGTGTGCTCGGAAGTGATTTCATCTGATTGATCTGCATGATCTCAGTTCTCAGGGATTCGATTGGGCACAATATTTGCATTGAGAACTTAAAATCTATTCATTCTTGCTTGGAAGGTGATTGAGAAGCCCAATGCAGTGGACAGAGACTCCGTTGCGGGGGATATAAAGTTTTGTGATGTTACTTTCAGATACGAGGAAACCACGCGCCCTGTTCTTGATAGATTGAATCTACATATCAGACCAGGGGAGACCGTCGCCTTTGTTGGGCCATCTGGAGGGGGGAAAACCACGCTTACGAAGTTGCTGCTTCGGCTGTATGACCCTCAATCAGGTGACCATCTTTGGCCAAATATTCTCTTCAGAATACAAACCTAAAGGCTTCTAATCGCTTGTGATCATTTTACTTTTTTTCAATTATTTTTCGTAAACATGATTCCATTGACTCTTCAACAGGTCAAATTCTCCTGGACGATGAAGACATAAAGGGCATCCGATTGAGAAGTCTCAGGGGACACATCGGCTTGGTTTCACAGGATGTAGTGAGTGTTCACTCAACTCTATGTTCTTTACTCGAACCTTGGTAATGCTTCTGAAAAGAGTTGACTTTTTTCATGGGTCAAATAGGGGCAATGAATCTGGTTTATTTTCATTAACGACATAAAGTAAATTATTATGCTGCTGTTCAGGCGTTATTTTCAGGCACCGTTGCAGAAAATATTGGTTACAAGGACTTGATGGGAGAAATCAACATGGAGCTCGTCGAGAAGGCTGCGAGAACTGCCAACGCTGTTGAATTCATCCGGAACCTTCCTGATGGCTACGACACCGATCTCGGTCAGAAGGGCTCTGTTCTGAGCGGAGGACAAAGGCAGAGGTCTGATGAATCCCCTTCATCTGAAATTTCGTACCACATTTTATAATACCTTCTCTTTCTCTTTCTCTCTCTCTCTCCCACTCTCTCTCTCTCTCTCTCTCTCTCTCCCCCCGAACACACAGGCTAGCCATTGCAAGGGCGCTGTACCAGGAGTCCTCCATTCTAATCCTGGACGAAGCAACCTCGGCATTAGACAGCAGATCTGAGGGGCTGGTGAGGCAGTCCTTGGAATCCTTGACTGCGAACCACACTGTAAGTCAACCTCCTGATACCCACCAGAAAATCAAATAATTCTTATCTTGATAGCTTGTTAGAAACTATGGTAAATCTCATCAAACATAGGTATTCTCATGAACCATGTATTATTAAACACTGATGATATAATTCGTAGAAAACTATGGTGAATATCTTAAACATTGGGAATTATCGATAATTTGAATGAATGATTAGGTTCTGGTAATTGCTCACCGAGTGGAGACGGTTCTGATGGCGGACCGGATCTTCCTGTTGGATGGGGGGCAGCTGGAAGAGGTCAGTCGGTCGGCTTTCCTATCTCGGGATGGTAAACCGGCGCCGCCAATGGCAAATGGCCTCATTGTCTGATCTGTGATGGTCGCAAGACCCATTTTGCCACGTGTAAGCCTCTGATTGTTGGAGTTCATTCTCAGAATGAAGGGACTCCATGTTGCTCTCCCTCCCCCTCAATCTTATAGAAAATTTGACTTATTTATCTATTTTTTTATTTTTTTTGGGTTTTGTGGTTGTGCAGGATGTAGAGCGAAATAAATTTCCTGTCAATTTGGTGCGATTGATATTAGATTTATTTTCTAAAAGAATGTAATAAAATATTTTGATAGAGAGAGAGGTGAGAGAAGTGAGTGAGTGAGTGAGTGAGAGAGAGAGAGAGAGAGAGAGACGTGGACGGTCATATATGCTTAATATACTACGAGGAGAAAGAGAAGCCTGGGGGATCGTATTTGGCAAAAACCCTAGCTCCTCTGCTCCTGCTCCGCCAACCATGGGGAGTGAGGGGGATGCGCCGCCGGCGAAATTCGATTGGAGGGAGACGGTGGAGGAGAGGTGGAGGAAGACCAGGGAGCACGCGGAGACTTACCCCTACGTCTGGGGGTCCTACATCCTCGTCTACGGCGGGCTGGGCGTGTACATAGCTTGGCGCTGGAGGAAGCTCCGGCAAACGGAGGATCGGGTGCGAGTCTTGCAGGAGCAGCTCCGGAAGCTCGTCGAGGCCGAGGCCTCCGCCGCCAACGCCTCTGGTTCGTCCTCCACTGCGTCCAAGCCATTCGCCGCCGCTTCGTCTTCTTTCCCGCCGGCGGCCCGTTCGCCGCCAACGCCTGATAAGCCGATTTCCCGGTGAGGGGTGGTCTTTCGGAGATAATTATGACAGGGGAACTTCACATCTAGGGTTTCCGCGGGATCCATCATCAGGTGAGCCGGAGAATTTGGCAAGGGAAAAGAAAACCTTCTGAACGGTGATGCATTCGACAGGTAGTTTCCTTCCTTGCTTGATGCTTCTTCTCCGAAATGGTTCTGCAAAGGAACCGCCGCCGAAGAACCTAAGCGCGAGTTCTCTCTCTCTACCTCTCTCGGGATCGCCGGTGGAAATCTACGCTCTCTGCTGATCTCTCCCGATTCTTCTGTCAGACAAATTCTGGACTCTGCATTCGAAATGATCGAAGAGAACATATGTTTTTTATTGATCTCGATGATCGGAATTGTGGGCACGACGCGGATGATCTCGCAGAGGGCATCAGTCGGGGAAATCATCTTGCTTCGGGTTTCATTGGTCCCTCAGCGCATGGACTTTTCAAGCAACGCTCTTTGTTTCCGCAGCTGTTTCGATCGAACAGGAGACGGGCCCGCCCCGGCCTGGATTAGAGAGAGAGAGAGAGGGGGTAGGGGTCCCTGTTCATCCTCTTTTTCTTCGTCTTCTTCGTCTTCCTCATGAGCGCTCTGAGAGGGGGTAGGGGATGGCAGGATTCGGGCAACCAGCGTTCCCTCCAGCCTGACCGCCACCACTCCTCTCAACGCGATGCAGTCTGTGGAAATAAAACTTAAAATAGTTGGCGAAATCGTGCCAAAAGAAAGGGAGAATTAGTTGAAGAAGAAGAGGGAGAGGATGTTGGTAGTGGTTCGTGAGCCCTAAAATGAAGAGAGAGAAATGCTTCCACGAACTTAATTGAAATAACGATAAAGTTTGTATACATAGACGACAAAAAGATATAATAAAAACAGAAAATTTGGGTATAAAGTGGGTTAACCTATTACTATATAAAAATTAACATTTAACCAATCTCTCATGATGCAAAGCTGGTGATACCAAATAATTCCTGAAATTTGATAAAAATTTAATTGCTTAATTCCCTTGTAAATTAATGGACAGCTTGATCTTTTATTGAGTGAAAATTTATCTTGATTAAATATACAGCAACTTGATCACAATACAAAATGATGACAAATCTCATTCTATATTTAGTTCACTTATAGAATACTAGATTCTTAGCTATTGATATGGTTGACTTATTGTCACAATGTATCTCTATTGAACAACATTCTCTCAAATTAAAATCTTCTATGATATTCTTCATCCATATAATTTGTTGTGCGATCAATGATGCATCAACATACTCAATTTAGAATGATGATAATGTTGTGGTTTCTTATTTTTTGAAACTTCAAACTATTGGATCCCAATTCAAAGTTGAAAATCAGTCTAGTGGTGTTTTTCTTGTCATCTAAAGATCCTCCCTAATCAATATCAGTGAAACCAATTAATTTAAAATGAGGTACATGTACAACATTTCGTAATTAATGGTACCACTAATATAATGAAGAATTCTACTTCTTTCTCCTAGATGATTTGTCGTAATAAAAGTCATAATCGGATAATCAAACTAACTAAAAACATAATATTTAGCTTACTATGAGTTAAATATACCATACAACCAATTAGACTTTTATAAAATCATTTATCTACTTTTATGTCATCATTATAGAGCATGTTTTGTAATTCAATATATTATGATTTTTGAGTATATATAAAACATATTTGAGAAATAATCTGAAGCTTGAGAAAATGATAAAGTAAATTTAAATCAATTATATCAAGTTCTGCCTTCATGAATATCTTGAACTTTGATATCAATTCAGAATACAATCCAATATAAATAACACCATCCATAAAGAGATATATATATACATACAAATTCTGTTCATATGAAAATTATTTACATGATGGAAATCAAGTCAGCCATACCAAGTCATTGGCACTTATTTAAACCCATATATACTTTCTTCAATTTGTAAACTATCTTTTTTTACATCGATCACAAATTCTTGAGGTTTCTTAGCATACATATCTTTATTCAAATATAAATTTAAAAATGTAAATTTAACATAAAATTGAAATAATGACCACTTCATTAGATCTTCTATTGTTAAAATACTTTTAACAATTCTAAATAATTGATACCATATAACACATCTTTTTTGCCACCAAAATTACCTTATATTTTTGTACATTTTCACCTCAATTATACTTAACTTTATAAATTCAGTTCACACCAATAAGTTCATTTTTTTGTGGTAGATCTACCAACTACGATGCATCATTATTTTCAATTGGGTTAATTTCTTCATAAAATTTTCATATTCTTCTTTTCCTTGATTTTCTTCAGAGCTCTTTGGTTCTGAAACTATTAAGGTAAAAATTCATGCCTTATTTATCTCATTTTAAGACCATACTTTTGTTAGAGGAGTTGAGTCATGACTAGAATCATTTATCACAACCACTTTAGTGCTTTAAATCTCTCTCCAAATAGAACTTGATAAAGTATCACCCCTTCTCTTGATTAATGTCATTTTTGTAGATGTACAATGATTATAAAAGAAAATTTACTAAATAGCATATGCCTCATATTTTAGATCTATAAAGGATGAAAATGAGTTTTGATTTACATGGCTGATTTATACAAATTAAACATTTAATATGTTCAATAGACTAATCATTTTAAATTCTATCCAATTATTATGATCTTAGCTATAACCATCAAATCTTAGGTTTTTAGCCTTGAGCTCAAATAGGTTTTCTAACTTAAGAAAATAAATTAAAGATAGATCTACAGATAAAAGGTTAAGTACTTGTCATACTAGGTCATTTGTCACGTGACAACACATATATCTATGATGTCATTCACGACACATCATTATTTATGATGGTGACATATGTATATTTATGGGATCATACAGCAACATGTATATTTATGACAACACATGTGTCATACAAGTACATGTCATTTTTGATAGTGGAAAATTTCATTACAATTATATTTTTGATAATCTAACTATTGTGCTACAATGTTTATCTATTCTATATTAGTTTCACATGATATTACATTGGCCCTTCAAAATTTTCAAAGTTTCAAATTAATAAAAATATAAAGATTAGATTGAAGATTTATTTCTAGAAAGTTTAATTTGACAAAGACAAGTCAAGTACACACGAACACAAAAGAAAAACTAAATTTGATGATCTAATGTGGATACAAAATCATTCCCCATCAAGTTAAGGAGTTTTGATTCAAATCTGGATCCAAATGGCCTAAGAATAAGGTGAATAAAAGATCGGAAGGTTAGAACACAAGAACCACACAATCTAGAAAGCATGTAGAATTTGAATGAGCCACTTAAATGTTGGAGATTTAATAAAATTGAAAAGTTTGTACATGATGAATGCTTACATATTAGAGAAGTGTTATGAAGAAAAATAAGGATAAATATTCTGAGATCTACTACTCTCCATCAAGATTTTTACATTGCATGTTTCATTGAGAAATGAACTGCAATAATATTCTTCATTAGCTTCATTTTATATTCAAACAACTTGTCTACTACAATCAATGCTCCTTGTCATATGCTAGAGAGTATTTGGTGAAATTTGGTAATCAATACTACTACAATCAATGCTCCTTGTATTACCATCAATGTTTCATTAGTAGGTAGTTGGGTTGTGAATGAATAGTAAATTTGGTGAAGGCATGTGATGCTCGTAGTTGTATTTGGACCATTAGGGGCTGATGACTCCCACAAAGATAAACCAAGGTGATTTGGGCTATTGATTTGGTTAAAATCAATGTGTATTACTAAGGGAATATATAAAGATTAGATGAAAATTTCTTTTATGGCTCAAAATAGTTGGGAGAAGTGTAAACTAGTATAATTTTTTTTTATTCTTAATGTGATGCTACTAAGAGGTTGTATTATTACAAACAAACTTTCATGTGTGCTGACAAATGTACCTTATTTGTTCATACATAGATCACTTGTATTGGCACATAGACCTGCCAATGTAAAAAATAAATCTATAACTAGAATTTTTTTTTTTTTTTTTAAACTCAAATTCAACTTCTTTTATGATGTTTCAGCTAGCTATACGATTTTAACTAGTGGTATTGGAGCCTACCTTGAAGATGATAGTAAAACATCTGAAATAGTAAATCACATAGCTGTTGAATCATTTGATCAATACAATTATGAACTACTCATGTTTGATGGAATCAACTATGTATTTTGAAAAACTAGGGTCAAGATTTATAGGAACTAAAACATGATTCATATATTTCACTTATTGTTCTTAACCTTTTTGGAGGATTGATTGATTATAGACTTGAATCATTGTTGCTCTTAAAACCATATGAATTTTGATTATGGAAGCTTACTCAATCCTTTATGCACTAATGATATTAGATCATTACTTTTGAATAATTTGATATTTGATCAAATAAATTCAAACTATTTATTCCATCAAATATGATTTTCTAAATATTGAGTAAGATATCTTAGAAATCATATTATAAATCTTGAATCATCAAAATCATTGTTACAAATATTGAAATAATGCCTTGGTATATTTACTTGAAGATCATAACACACATTAAGTATATGTATATAAGTGTGGTCGTTAGGTAATTGTGTCAATAAAATATGTGTTATTGATTATGTATTTATATTATTGGATCCTTATCAAATCGATTTAAATTGACACAAAGCAAATAAAAAAAGTTATGACTTCACAACATCGAGTATAAACTTCATGCAAGGATATTTAATTGAACTTAGAGAACATATTGGATTGGATTCTCAACCATTTGAATTTGTGTTTATTCCAAAAAAATAGATGTTGATGATCTCAAAGAATTGGGATTTGACATATGACTCATCTATAAATATTGAGATTTTTATATAAATAAGCATAAAGAATATACATATCTCTCTTTACTATAACCTCCAGCCTTAATGCAGTATCTATGTTGAAAATTTAGTGAGAAATGAGTGAGATTTGAAAGCCTTAAATCCAAC